TCTCTATTCTGTAAACCCCATCCAGAGCCTCTTAAAAAGTAAAAATAATCAGTAAAATAGAATCTACATTTGCTGAAATCATCAATTGACTCCTTATAAAATTTATTTCCCTTGAAAAAAATTGTTACCCATTTTTTTTCTTTTTTTATCAGAAACTATAATATTTTTTTTTTTTTTCAAATCAAATATTTTATTGTCTTATAAACTTTACAGTTTGTGACCAACATGTATTAACACAATAAACATATATACATACATATCAAACAAACACAATAAAAACAGCATCAAAATTTATAAAAACAAACAAGTTGTTAAGAGTCCCCTGCCCTCAGTTCTAATGACTTTTTCAAGAAGGATCCTAACTTATTTGTTTGTAAAGGCGTTGATGGATTTAGTAAATAATGAATTTTTTCTTCTTCATTTAAATTATTAAAGTTATTATTTTCAGTACATATGTGTTCAAAAAAGGCATTTCTTAGTGTTTTATTATAATCACAATAGAGTAAAAAATGTTTCTCATCCTCTAGTATTTTACATTTATGACAAAGTCGTTCCTCTCTTGGGATTTTAAAATATCTCCCCTTTTCAATTAAGAGGGAGTGATCACTTAGTCTAAATTTAGTGATCAATCTCCTTATCTGAAAATTAGATATATTTAGATAAGATTCTAGTTTGCAATCCTTTTTAAGTTTTTTATATAGATAAAATTTACTTTTATCATCAATGTTTTCAAATTTAGTTTCAATTAAATCTTCATATCTATTTTTCATTTTTAACTTTATATCGTTTTTTTTTTTTATTTACATCTTTTATGTCCTTACAATTAGAAAAAATATTAAGGTCAATATTAGTCTCTTCAACAATATGTTTTGCATATGTATACCATGAATAAGTTCCAGTCAAATCTAGAGACTGTGCTAGAGAAAAAGCTTCCTTTATCAATGGATTAATATTATTATTATATAGTCTAGCTAAATATAAAAGGGTTTGTGTTTTAATAAAACATTCTATAGGCAATCTTCCTAATTCAACTCTTGCTCCTAAATTGGATGCATTTTTTCTTATTCCTAGAGTAGATTTACAAAATTTAAGATGCATATTTTCAATAGGGGTTTTGTCTGTAAAATCAAGTTGATTAATTTGTTTTCCTGAAGATAAGGCTCTGTTTTTGGCTCTATGAAAAGAAATATATGTATCCAAATATGTTACTTCTGAATTATAGGTCATAATTGGTTTTACTAAAGAATCAAAAAGGTTATTTGCTACTTTTATAGGTAGATTATTCAATGATTTAGTATAGGATTTTATTGCAAAAAATACTTTTTTTGCCTTTTTTGTCAGCTCTAAGGTACTTTGTGATAAATTTCCATTACATTTTATCAACATTCCCAAAAATGAATATTCTGATACGCTCTCTATGGCTTCATTCTCATAGTAAATATGTGATGTTTCACCATTTTGTTTGGACTGACTGAAAATCATGGATTTTGGATAATAGATATCAAATCAAATGTCTTTATTCCTAATTAAAGGGCACTTATAGAGCATATAAATCAATACAAATCACAAAGTTCATATAATATCCACACAAAAAACACATGCAATCTAATACACATACTGATTGTTAATAATTAAAAATGATTAAGAACAAATATGGAAACATGATTAAAACATATATACATGATGGGAGAGAGCCAGTACAAAGAGGGATAACTCCATTTGTTTACCTTAAATTGTGTCTCTTTTTTTTTTCCTGTCTGATCTGGGGCAGCCCCGATATTCCGACACCCCAGTAGTCCGACACCCCAATAGTCCGACACCCTATTGGTTCGACGCCCAATAGTTCGACATTCCATTAGTCTGACATCGAAATGTTTAAAAAAAAAATGTATTTATTTTTATATCAGAAAGCCAAATAAAAGGTTCGTTCAATATTAAGAAGAGGACAGTGTCATTCGTTGGAACTGGTGATGCAATCTTGGTTAATGCTGAGACTACTATAACACATGTGTTATAGTAGTCTCAGGTTAATGTATTAGTACAAAGTAGCAGAATTTCATCACCACTAACTAAAAGCACAAAATACGTTGTTAAGTCTTGACGAATTGCTTAATAAATACCTCTAGATACAGTATCTCATAGATACAGGTTAAAAATGACGCAGTAAGAAAATAAAGGAACCAATGAAGCTTTGCTGCATACACGATTATATGAGTGTATATGGCTTGAGTGAATAAGACGGTCACGTTTTTATGGTATAACTCTAGTGACAAAAAGTAATAACGGTGCTCAACTCAACTAAAACTTCTAATCTAATAATTTTTTGAAAAGGGGAGCTAAAAACTAACAGTATAATGCCATTAGTTGAAGAAGAACACCAGTTTAGTTTGTATACTGTATACATAGGCACCAATATTTAAGAAAGAGTGAAATAAACAGTGGGTAAGCTGGTTCAATGGTTATCTCTCTTCCAAATAATACTCTTCAGTTATTGACGCGTTCGCCGCACAGGGACTCGGTAAGCAGATCAACATTTTTTATGCCCCCGTCGTTAGAGGAAGGGGGCATTAAGCATCCATACGTCCGTCCGTACGTACGTTCGTCCAAAAATTGGTTTCCGTTCTCTAACTTTAGTTTGCCTTAACCAAATGTTATGAAACTAATACCCAATGCATATTACCATAAAACACAGATCAAGTTCGAATAAGGGTGGCGTCACTTTTACAGTTCTCTAGTTATGTCCCTTTATAACGTGATATGCAAGCAGGGGCGATGTGGTATGAGTGCCAATGAGACAACTCTCCATCCAAGTCACAATGTATAAAAATTTTAACAAATATAGGTCAAAATACGGCCTCCAACACGGAGCCTTTTCTCACACCGAACAGCAAGCTATAAAGGACCCCAAAATGACTAGTGTAAAACAATTCAAACAGGAAAACCAACGGTATAATCTATATAAAAAACGAGAAACGAGAAACACTTATGAACCACACCAACAAACGGCAACCACTGAACACCGTATAAAGGCATTCATTTACTTCCTTAATGATTCTTCGATCAGAAGCATGTATATTGATTTCCCGATCAACGGCTACCTTACTCAGCTATTGTTTCAATCAGGTCAAAAACTAATTAACAATAAATCCAGTAATAGGGGTCGACAAGAATGAAGAGCGGTAATATGAAGCAGTAATATTCACTGTAAGTCCATTCGGATGGCAAATGCCATCCGTTTTAATTGAGTTTAACAACCGTAATAAAGCATTCAATAAAGAACCAAATATAATCGATTGTTCAATTTTACTATGGATATTTTTACTTTCATTTTTTTTAATAAAGTTTTGATTTTTAAATTCAAGTTCGGTGGAGATGGAAACCAACATGTTTGGATGAGTGGCACGCTCTCTGCACTTTAAGAAACCTTGCAGCAATATGGTAGGTCCGTAGGTAGTACTCACACTTGTTTACCTATATGTGTTCCTCCTAACAGAAGTTTCCCTGGAAACTTTGTTATAAACAATCCTATAATATCTGTTCTTTTTGGAACAAATATTATATATACCTTTTATTTCGTCAGGAACAAGTAACGTAATATTTTTTCCAGTGAAAATTATATTCCATATTTAGAACATATTATAAAGGAACGTATATTCCATGACAGTCTGTTGCCAGGCCAAATTTCTATGCCTATCCAATATACTCTCATTTTCCCGTGGCAGTCCAAATTTTCCGCCCTCAATCCCGATCGATTCCTTATTACAGGACATACCTTTTGTATTAATTATTAATTTGTTTACGTCTTTAACATGCATGAATTATTTGACACTGGACGTAATGAAAACAGCAATCAGTCAATCAAATTCCTTTTATAGCGTAGCGTTTTTTTTTTTTGTGTTTTTTTAAAGAGCTATAGGTCACATTTTGTATTTGTAAAGCAAAATAATGCAAGGTTGTCGATTGCCTTATATTTATAGGATAATGGTATTTCTTACATACATGTACCAGTTGGGAAGTGCTGTCTTTTCCATTTGTTTGTTCCAGCTTGTGTCGGACTATTGGGGTGTCGGACCAATGGGGTGTCGGACTATTTGGGTGTCGGACCAATGGGGTGTCGGACTAATGGGGTGTCGGACCAATGGGGTGTCGAACTATTGGGGTGTCGGACTATTGGGGTGTCAGACTAATGGGGTGTCGGACCAATGGGGTGTCGGAATAGCGGGGCGACCCTTCTGATCTGGAAAATTTTATTTAGATACAGACTTAAAACTGTATTAAAATCTAAATCTTCATTTTTCATGATCCAGACGAAGAGATTTTCTAAATTTATGTTTCTCAGATTTGGAAACTTTTGAAATAAATATTGTAGGAATTCTAAACTTAGTGAGCTATATAGAGGGCATTCTAAATTAAAATGCAGTTCAGTTTCTATCAAGTTAAGTGAACAGTGTTGACAGAGCCTTTCATATCTGGACAGAAGTTCAAGTTTTCCTCAGATTGTATTTAGTTTTCGTTCATGTCTCCCAGTTTCTATTCTCAAACTGTTGTTACTCAGCCTAAATTTTGTTAAAGTTTTTCTGCTGTTAAAATTTTTCATATTTAAGTAACTTTCATAGTTGAAAGTAAATTTGAATTTGTAATATGTGCTGAGTTTTCCAGTATCTTTTGAATAACTATTTCTTATGTCTAGCCATGTCTTAAGAAAGTACTTTTGGAGACATTTCTTCAAATGCAATTTAAATTTATTTTTACTAAGATATGCCTAGATTAAACTCAGATTAAAACTGCTAGTAGCATACAAAAGTTCATGTAAATAAGATCTAGAAAATTTCAATTGACCCCTTATAGAAGTTCATACTGCCCTTTTGTGCGGAAACTATAATAGACCGAGAAAATTGGTAAAAAGCAACAAAAAAAAATAATCATCCATAACCGTACGTTATTGGCAATTATTTGTTGGTCATTAGTCTTATCGCAAGTTGAACTCTTATGTGTAGAGTCTGAAAACAATCTTGACAACGATGGCGAAAACAAAGATTTAAATATTTTTTGTTCCAGACAGTTGTTTTAATTCTCCAAAATAAATCAGAGGTATTTAATTGCGAAAGGCTTTCTTTTCTAACGTGCTCAACCTTAAGCTTCTTTCGCCTAGATTTAGGCACTAGATTGAAGAAGGAGTGAAACAGGTGCCTGTTCGACCAAAATTATATATAACACAAGATTCCATAAACCTGTAAAACTAAAAGTCATTTTTAATGGATGAAATTCTGTATCACACAATGGCATCCTGTTTGGCATCAATTCCAAGTTGTTGTTTAAGAATTTTTTGCAGAGGTGAAAGCTAGACTCTCCATACCATTTCTGAGTCCAGATAAAAAAAGGCAGATTAAATTCCCAAATAGCGTTTTAGACCTTATTGCTATTTGGAAATCTGCCACACTTGACCTGAAAATTTGCGACTCTTGAACTTTTGACGTAATACAACAATCACTTTTTTTCTTTGTGGCGTCAGACATTTTCTATTGTGACCTCAAAATTTTACGTGATGTCCAGTAATGGCGAAAAATAGGCCTAAGGTGTATAAAGGTTCATGTGGACCTTTTGGCTAAAATGGCTGTGTTTAGGGTAAATGGAAAAAAGGAAACAGGGAAAAAAGTCACAAATTTGGTTGGAAAAAAAATCACAAATCTGATAGGAAATATTGTCTATTTTTGTACATTGCTTTTCTCTACTTTTAAAGTTATACGGAACTTTCAATAGTAAATAAATGATATATTATTTAACATGTTATATAAAAGTATATTTTTAAGGGTTGTAAGTGTTAACCTGTCCAGACAGCATGGCCCGACAGTAGACGATTAACAGGAAATGTAGATAGTAATTGACACCAGTTAACTTTTTGTTAGTTAAATAACCGTTGGTGGAAATGTTTTAAAAAATTGACATTTTCATGGACAACATTTTGTTTAAACTTGGAAAATTTATTAAATTGCAATAAACACAAACATTGAAATACCATACCCCAATTCTGCCAACTTTTAATAATGCAAATGCGTGAGATTTGGCCAAAATTGTAAAGATCAAAGAGAAAAAACAATAGATCAAAGGAAAATGCCGCCAAATAAGCATGAAAATGCGTGAGTCTCACGCTAAATGCGTGAGAGTTGGCAGCCCTGCATACCCCTGTATTCTAACATTAAAAGATGGTGAAAAACTATTCAGTTGATATGATTTACTACATATTATTTCCTATAATTTTCCTGTGACTTTTTCCATACATTAGACATATAATACATATATATGTTTCTGCCTATATCTTAATAAAACATTATTAAAAAGTATATATATTTAAAACTTTTATTGTGACTTTATTTCCTGCGACTTTTTATCTGTCACTTTTTTTCCTACATTTGTGTTTACACCTCAAAATTTACTCTGAGTACAGATAAACCTGTGCATCTGAAATAGTTTTAAGACATGGCATGCCCTAGATAAATAAAATTCAAATGCATTTTCTGATTTAGAAAATTAGAAACTTGACTGGATTTTGGTGTGCACTTTTTTTTCGTTCCTACAGAAGATGTGATAAAATTAACAAACACTTGAGTTTCACTTGATATGGTCCACTCAGTGACACAGTTTAAATCACCTATTGTTGTCAGACTGTCATGAAATAAAAGTTCCTTCATGGTATAAGTTCCAAATGGGAGAAATATTCTGTAATGTTATTTCCACTGGAACAAATATTACAGTCATGACAGTATTCGTTCCTGATGGAATAAAGGTTATAGAAAATTTGTTCCAACAGGAACAGATATTATGGCATTGTTTATAACAAAGTTTCCAGTGGAACTTCTGTTAGGTCGAACTAATATACATATATATTATGTGGATCTGAGTCCAATTATTATATGTTCTCTAATGTATTTTGAACTCATTTGAATGCCATTATTTAGGTATTTATAAATAAGAAGATGTGGTATAATGCCAATGAGACAACTCTCCAACCAAGTCACAATGTATAAAAAGTAAACAATTATAGGTCAAAGTACGGCCTTCAACACAGATTTTTAGTTTATATGATTGAGGATTTCAAGTGTCAGGAATTATCATGGTTATGGGAGAAATCCCCCATAAATCAGGATAGTTGGCAGGTTTGGCAACATAAATTTATATTAATGTTTTGAATAAATATTTCTTAAAATTGCATTAATTAATCCACAAATATCATGATAATGTCCTGTAATTGCATAATATATTTTCTTTTTATGGAATTTTTATGAAGGATAAATGGAAGCCTATGGTTAATCAGAACAGTGAATAAGATTTTTCAGAACAAAAAATCTTACCCCCTCCCCCCCAATGAAAAAAGGACAAAAATAATTCTTCAGGCCCACAATTATAACAACAATAAAGGACTAAAACTGAGCCTTAGTCATGAATAGTGTAACATCAAATAAAGATTAATTTACATATATACAACTGAATTTTTTTCTTCTATTGATATGTTCGATTTCCCTAACTTAATACAAACCTTAACTTTACCTTAAGTGTGAATCATAATCTTCATTATGACAGTTTACATTTGTATAAATTATTTTTATTTTTTTCTGTATTTCAACAGAATGGCAAGCATGAAAGTTCAAGGCAATATAACAGCTAGAGGAGAGGAGCCTCCCATGTTTCTCCAGAGGCCCTCTACAGGAAAATCACAAGATGTTCGTCACATCTTGACCAGGACATTTAGAGACTTATATACCAGGGATGCCATAGGGCCAGAAACTGTTCGTAATCTGAATGTGTCTAAAGGTGGTGATGATCCTTATCATGAGAGATATGTAGAGTCACTACAAAAGGTATTGTGTAAAAATTGTCACAATTTTCTAAAATATGTAGTAGCATAAAAGTAAAACAGATTTTTCAGTGACATAAAATATCCTTTATGGAACTATTTTTAAAGGAAAATGATTCTTTTTTAAAATAGAAAATTTTGAATTGACATAAATGAGGGTAGGAATAGGGAATATTGTGATACAGTTTCTTCATAATATATATGTTCAAACATACTTCCTGGGTGAAATCAAAAGTAGATATATATGGACAAAACAATTGATTGACAGATTGTAGAAAATGTGTAACAGTAAAGATGCCACCATTTCATCATTGTGTATGCGTTCATCAAATACTGTCTTTTGATCTGTTCTGTTAGGCTTTATCTCTGTAACAACTCAATAAGGCATCACAATATCATATTAACATTTACATAAATACATGTAATTGAAAAGAAAGGATATGATATGATAAATTGCTGACAATTTGACTAAAATGCAGAAACAATTCATACAAGATACAGATAACAAAGGGAATATAATATTTGAAATAAGCAGCCATCAAATCAATCAGTTATTTAATTCCAAAAGAGAAGTTGAATTTATTTTGAATTTTATTCCTTAGGTGTTTGAAGAAAGACAAAGAAGGTTAGATGAAGCAGCAAAGCTGGAGAAACATATCATGCAGGCCCAGGCTAGAGCAATGTCTGCTGATGAAAAGGAACTAAACAGAGTATCTAAAAGTTGTGAAAATTATAATGAATTAGGACTTCCACCAGGTAATTTTGTATGTTCTTGGTATTAGAAGGATATCAATAGAACATATTACTGACCCACTAATTCCAACATTTTGTCACATACTTTAATAAAAAAATTATGTAATGAGTTAAATTTTTCATGGACTTTTGTTTGCCATTCAATTTAATTTGACTTGTCATAATAGAATAGAGAATAGAAAGAGGAAATTGTCATAAGTACATTATACTGTAAATTCAGAAACTGTTACCCTGCACTTATAGGGATTCAAGGGGTCCATGCAAAAATGAAAGATTTTATTTTTGCCATCTGCAAATAACTTCAGTTTTATTTAGAGTTAATTATAGTTGCAGGTTAAAGTTGTTTACCTTTTTTTTAATTCCCAGATGCTTTATTGATAAATGACTAACAATTTTATTTCTTTAATTGAATAAAAGATAATACACATTTTAATTTATTTGGATGTTTTATTTTGTTTTTTTTATAAAGAATTGTCTCTTAGTAATACATATTGATATGAGTAAACAGTACTGTATCTACAGATGATATAAATATGTTTGTAAAATTGAGAATGGAAATGGGGAATATGTCAAAGAGACAACAACCCGACCAAAGAGCAGACAACAGCCGAAGGCCACCAATGGGTCTTCAACGCAGAGAGAAAATTCCGCACCCGGAGGTGGTCCTCAGCTGGCCCCTAAATAAAATTGTGTACTAGTTCAGTGAAAATGGACGTCACACTAAACTCCAAAACATATAAATGACCTAAAATTAAAAAACATACAAAACTAACAAAGGCCAGAGGCTCCTGACTTGGGACAGGCGCAAAAATGCAGCAGGGTTAAACATGTTTTGTGAGATCTCAACCCTCCCCCTATACCTCTAGCAAATGTAGAATAAAGAAACACATAGCAATACGCACAGTAAAACTCAGTTTAAAAGAAGTCCGAGTCCGATGTCAGAATAGGTAACAAAAGAAACTAAGCAAAATGTCAATGATACATAAATGAACAAAGGACTACTAGCAGTTACTGACATGCCAGCTCCAGACCTCAATTAAACTGATTGAAAGATTATGTCTTTATCATATGAAAATCAAGTACAATCCCTCCCGTTAGGGGTTTAGTATCATACCATCATAAAATATATGAGAAGAACATAACCCGTATCATGCCAACAACTGGTTTTAGAATAAATGTGTTTATTTCCGGTGCAAAGACCCTATGAGCAATATTAATACCAAAATATGCAATCCTTAATGACTTGACAACAGTATCTTAACTATATCCTTTCCGAATAAGTCTGTTTAAAGGTTTCGTTAGCTTTTGAGGTAAATGCCGACATTTTTGTGCTTTGTAAAGAATATTACCATAAAATATTGGATGTGAAATACCTGAACGTATAAGATGTCTGCATGTTGATTTATATTTACGAATGATGTCCTTGTACCGATGATAAAATTTAGTAAATGTTTTGACTAGTTTGTGATATTGAAAACCCTGGTGTAATAATTTTTCAGTATACAGAGATTTCTTTCGTTGAAATCAAATACATTGTTACATACACGAGCGAATCAAACAAGTTGAGATATGGCAACAAGGGAACGTCACCATCTAAAAATGGATAATTAACAATAGGAAATGAAAAATCATCTCTTTTATCATAAATTTTGGTATTAAGCTTCCCGTTAAAGATAAAGATATCAAGATCCAGGAAAGGGCAGTGTTCATTGTTAGTATTAGCTTTATTTAAAGTCAGTACGGCAGGATAAATCTCTTTAGTGTACATACTGAAGTAGATATTATTGAGAGCCAATATATCATCTAAATATCTAAAAGTGTTATTAAATTTTTGAATCAGATGTTGTTTCGATGGGTCTTTGCTGATTTTAGTCATAAATTGTAACTCATAACAATACAGAAACAGGTCCGCAATAAGTGGTGCACAGTTAGTCCCCATGTTTACTTGACAAGTTGTATTGAGTGTAATAATTATTTCTCTGCATGCAAATTAAACACATCAATCTAAAAAAAAAAGAATATCGAGGATAATTGGAAGTTTGAATAAGAAGAGTCTTAGAGATGAGGGTTAAATATTAATGAGATTATAGCAACCAAACAATAGAATATAACTAAAAGATAGACATCCTTGAAATCAACATATATTCTAATTTGATTGACAACCTCTAAATAGCCCTGAATCTAGATAGTGTGTAGATAAGTTCAACAGAGCTTTTTCTTTTAGGAGAACATTTTGTGACCCTGCTGAAAATAGAAATTTTGAAATTTATTACACATAATCAGATGTGGTCTAGTTCTATGAAGAATTTAAAAGACTGAAAAACAAAAAATTGTTTTAGTAACTATTAATAACTTTAAGGTCACAATGAAACCCTTACAACTGCTCTCAGAATAGTTGTATGACTGTTTTGTTTTCTGCTGATGACAAAGCCAAATTATAAAAATTTTCTTTTCTTTGTACAGGTAGATCACATTTCAGGTCATGTATTGACACTGATCTATTGAGGAAGAACAAGTTACTGACACCTGAAGATTATGCCACAGAAGAGCCATCAGCAGTGCCCCCACCACCATGTAAGTACGCCACACACTGATTTATTGTTGCTTGCTTATGTTGCAATTATTTATATTCAATATGAGAACACATTTCAATCAGTATAAAAGAAAAACAAAGGATATGGAGTATCCATCCATGACACAAATCAGTACATGTGCAGCAAAAAACACAGTTATTTTATTCATGATGTAACATGTTTATAGGTTTTACTGTTGAGTCTTCAGTATCATTATATATACATTACAGCTCCAAAGATTCCTAGTTATGCTCGAGTAACTGTATCCTCACAACAACATACCAGGATGTCCGAGATGAGGGAACATTCACCATTTCCTCCACAGAGGACTGACTTGGAAGACCTAGAAGGACCAACATTCCTTTCTGAGGATTTCCAGGAGGGAGGACTGGAGTCATCCAGGCCAGATATGGAAGAAGTTGTAAGTGAATAGATGTTTGAATTATTAAAATATATTCTCAATATGTGCACTAAGCATATATCAGTTGTGACATTATGGAGTATACATGTATTTATAAATCAGTTAATGACTTACAAAGATATACCCCAGTTTTTGTGGGGTTCATGTTGCTCAGTCTTTAGTTTTGTAGGGTTCATGTTGCTCAGTCTTTAGTTTTGTGGGGTTCATGTTGCTCAGTCTTTAGTTTTGTGGGGTTCATGTTGCTCAGTCTTTAGTTTTGTGGGTTCATGTTGCTCAGTCTTTAGTTTTGTGGGGTTCATGTTGCTCAGTCTTTAGTTTTGTGGGGTTCATGTTGCTTAGTCTTTAGTTTTGTGTGGTTCATGTTGCTCAGTCTTTAGTTTTGTGGGGTTCATGTTACTTAGTCTTTAGTTTTTGTGGGGTTCATGTTACTTAGTCTTTAGTTTTTGTGGGGTTCATGTTGCTCAGTCTTTAGTTTTGTGGGTTCATGTTGCTCAGTCTTTAGTTTTTGTGGGTTCATGTTGCTCAGTCTTTAGCTTTTTGTGGGATTCATGTTGCTCAGTCTTTAGTTTTGTGGGGTTCATGGTGCTCAGTCTTTAGTTTTGTGGGGTTTGTGTTGCTCAGTCTTTAGTTTTGTGGGGTTCATGTTGCTCAGTCTTAAGTTTTGTGGGGTTCATGTTGCTCAGTCTTTAGTTTTGTGGGGTTCATGTTGCTCAGTCTTTAGTTTTTGTGGGTTCATGTTGCTCAGTCTTTAGTTTTGTGGCTCATGTTGCTCAGTCTTTAGTTTTTGTGGGTTCATGTTGCTCAATCTTTAGTTTTGTGGGTTCATGTTGCTCAGTCCATCAACAAAGTTGCGAAAGCCGGTATCTCAATCTGAGACTTCAATCTTTCTATGTGGCTTTCAACAATTTGTTAAAGTTTGTGGATTAGGTCAGTTTTAAGGGAACCACTGATGGTATGTCAATGATGTTTAGTATGTAGTTGAAGTAGCATTGGCATATCTCATTTCCATGGAGATTATTTGGCCTGGAACCTTCAATCATGGTTCATTGACTTTGGATGTTTTGCATAGTTTACATGTTAAAGTATTGACATTTTAATATCAGTATTTGCATTTTACTATCAAAATTACATACAGGCAAGACACATCTTTGTGTCAATAGTTTATTAATAATCATGTAATAAAGTTTGTGACTAAATATTTTCTTTTCTAATAAAAATCTATATTTTATATTTAAGCCATATATTCAATTTATATTTTGTGAATTGTGCATTTATTTTTCATTTTTTAAATTAAAATGATATGCTTTTGAAATAGAAGTAAAATGATATCTTATTCAGACAAGGACAAAAAGAGAGCATGGATGGAAGATATATATGTCAGAGGAACAAAGGGAACAGGACAGACAGGATCTGGCTACCTTACAGTCTAAAGTCAATTATAAGAGAAATCCACGCTTTGTACCTCCATCAGCAACACCTGGTGGTAGAACTTTAATCAAGGGGTATAACCCTGTCTCCAAACAAGTTGGCATTAAACCAGATCTTGGGGATGAAAAGTAAGTTATGAATTTATGAAATTTATGAAAACCAGAATCTCTTTTCCTGCTGTCGAAAAAAAAAGAATAAGTAAAACTGTCATGTTATCTCTACTTACTGAACAAAAAATACTATTGCTATACTGTGGAATCATTATTTTCGTGGATTGAGGAAAAATTGTACATGCATGGATATTTGATTGTGAGGTTTTGCCAAGGTCTGCATACAAGCCTATAGAAAATTTGTACGTCGCTTATAATTTAAATTTGTGTTTCACCTTTACCCACAGAATCCACAATTTTTTTTATCCACGAATGATATTGAATCCACAGTACTTTTACTATTCCACAGGACGAAATATGATTTCTTTGTAATGTCCTGGTTATGAAGTTATTTACATGTTAATCTTTAGCTATATCATTAATATTTAGGAGTTTTTTTATCATTTGTTTTAATTGCTTTTATTAAAATTGTAAATTAGGCTATACTATTTATTAGCCCTCAACAGGAGAGAAGACAACATAGCAAAATTCACAAATCAAGTAATTCATACAGTGTCAGTAATTAAATACAGGAATATTATCAACAGTATCATGTAAAAAAAGTTCAAATGTTATTTTGAAGCTTTTAATTCAAAGTCTTGAAATTAGAAAATTGATATGAAGCTTAATGAAGGCAAAACTTTATTTGAATATATTTTAGGAAAAAGGAGCCATCACTGATCTTCTTGTTATCACCACCTATTGTAAAGTTTACAAATTACAAGTCTGGACAGGTGTATGAAGTAAGTCATAACATTGCTACTGATATTAATCATTCATATATGAAAAAAAAGGGGGTCTATTATAATTGATATTAGATCACTTAATGATTTAGTATTATAAACAAATTAATAATGATAAGTTAAAGGAACTGATTCACATTGAAAAGTAGTTGGTTCACTAACGCATAATTTGGCAAATTAACAGTGCACTACCCCTCACCTGCAAATTTTTTTGCTGAAATATATACCATTTTAACTTTTCAATCAAAATTTCAATGGCAAGAGTTGGCGCCACGTATGAAATCATGATCAAAGGTTGAAAAATGTTAAACATTCCTAGAAAAATGGATTAAATGAAATCTATCCTTTTTTCAGGCTAATGTATTTGTAAATATGAAGCTATTAATATACAATTATTCTTATCATACTTACAAAAATTATGCATTTAGCAATACATGCACAAAGGATTCACTCACACAACTGAATTTAAAAAAAATTCAACTTAAACACGGCTATTTATTGGGGGTTACTGGCTCTACTCCTTTATAGGTGAGCTTCAAGAATATTCCAGCAATTTTTATTTTACCTCCCATTACAGGAAATTGCTGTCTGAAAAAAAAATGTTAAAAGTCACTGATGACAATTTTTCACTTTTTCAATGTCATTAGGTGAATTGGTTTGAATTAAGGTCACAGTAAAGTCCTTATGTGACATATTGTATTTACAGTTGACCTTGGAACTTAAGAATGTATCAGCAGTGTTAAGACAGTGTAGAGCATTACCACCAACAACATCTTACTTCTCTGTGGGACTTGGTAAGTCATAGCTTACCTGTATATTGTTTGTTTTACAAGTCATTGTTAAGTTCAATGTGTTTGTTCTTAATTTAAGATACCTGTAATAGAATGTATGTGATTTGAATTGTTTTTACCATTCATATTAAACTGAACAAGGAATAGTAGATAGATAATACATTGTTTTGCTGCAATATGATTTTTACACTAGAATGAAGTTCATACATGTTTTCAGTTTAAAGAACACCATAATTTTTATTTACTATTACAAATAACATTTGTTGTCATATTATGGAATAAAGTTTCCCATTGTCAGTTAGCCGTGGTCATATCATACTCTTAATAACAAGCCCTAAAGTATTTTTAACTGATTTAAACGAGAGAAAAAAATAGAATAAACCAAAATTGCTAAACATGACAGATACAATATATCATTTACACTAAACCAGGAAAACTCAAACACATTAATAAAGGCTCCCCTCCATTTTTTTTTTGTTATATTTCAAGTGACTGTTAAAGAGAGATTGTTAATTATATGTTTACAGGTCAGTTCCCAGGAGAGCATGGATTGGTAGCTCCTGGAATGAGTTGTCACTATGCTATAAGGTTTGCCCCAGACTCGTTAAAGGACTATGATGATGAGATCAGAATTCAGACCCAGTCATCAGCACCAATTATAGTCCCACTTCAAGGAAGAAGAGAACCTCCAAAGATTACTTGTATGTACATTACGTCAGCTATAAGTCCCAATGTTTTTTGCAAATTGAAAGCCATTTACACAATACAGAATGTTCATGCTCATCTTTTCAGCAGCAAAGTTTTTTAACATAAGAGACTGAAAACAACAAACAAACTATAAACATTTGTAAGATTTCATCAGATTTTAACATGTTTATTCTGTAGGAGTACATGTATATGAGAAGTAGACTGCTGTACCAAAATATCAGCTTAAGGTGCTGAATATATCAAACTTTGTAATATAATGATAAAACTCTTCTAAATCTGTGTAATTTAAATGTTACTGTTAAAGCACTTACTTTATTACTTATGTATGTCTACAGTTGTATATGTTGGACTTATTGTTTTACTCAGGTATAGGCACTGTAAAGATCAGTTGATGTCTGTCTACAGTAAACCTTGTATATGTTGGACTTATGTTATACTCAGGTATAGGTGTTGTAAAGATCAGTTTGTTATAACCATAGTATTTAGTGACTTTTAGTTCCTTTTGTAATAAATTTAGCTACTATTAAATGATTTATTGGTTTATTTATAGTACCAAAGGTATTAGATGTTGGTTACTGTCTAGTGGGTGGCTACCACGTGGCACAGTTTATCGTTAAGAACCATGGCGGTAATGGAAGATTTTGTGTATTGAACAGAAACTCATGGCCAGCACATAATTTTAAGGTTAGTTCATCATTTTCATATCAATCCAGATATTCTTTACTTAAGTTTAGTAGATTAGTAGATTACATAAAATAAAGCAATAAAGTAATTAAGTACATTGTTTTAGTTGTACTTTAGTTAAGTGTATATATAGAATTTAAGTCATTTATATCTATTTTCAGGTAAATTAAGAACTCATTGTAAAAGTATTTTAATTAATTATAATTCAAATGGATGATTCCTTGATAATTCAATTTATTGTTTATTTTATTTTCCAATGAATTTTTTTATTCATACATCTGTATTCATATGAAAAATTCATGTTTTATGGGAATTTATATATGTCATCAAGTCTCATTGTCCAAAGTTTAACATTGGTTTTATTGGTATAATCTTTAGAATATGTTTTTATAGATATTTGAGATCTTTAACAATTTTGCTGTTCTATTTTATGTTTATCCATTTAATCACTTGGTCATTTTGTAGCAAATAAATTCATGGGTTTTTGGTCATAAGAAGTTTGGTAGCTCTAAATCTGTAAGTTAATGTTGTGATTAGAGGAAACTATCACATAGTATCGTGGGCTACAGTAAAAACATGCTTTGACTTGCCACACTGGAATGATTTTACCTGCTGCACTTACCTTGCATGATGTGCTGGTAGTTTTAAGTTTGGAGAATTGTTTAAGCATGTTTTACACAAGGGTGTCAACCATACACTATTATTTATGTGGAAAGGGAAAATCCCACTTTTCCTCGAATTATATATATGCACTAACACCATGTAATTATTTCATTAGATTTACATATGAAACTGTTATTTGCTCTAAGTGGACATGAAAATATCAATTAAAATGTAATCAACAAAAATTTTATTTAACTAACTAACCAGTATTTTAACTGATCTTTTACTGCATTAACCAGTTTAACCCATATCACCTTCTTCCAATCAAGGTATTGGGACTGACTGTGGAGAAACATAAATATATTTTGTTGAAACAGGGCACAGTATGTTATTATCAGCATAACAGTTTGTGTTTGTAGGAATGTCTTATTAAAACAAAACTTGAAATATTTATAGAAAAAAATAATGGAAATTGTTTTTATATATTAATGAATGTGTTTTACAGTCTGTGGTAACAAATGGTGCAGTAGCCATGCCACCATTTAATGTGAGGCCGTCCGTTGTAGAGTTGATGAAGGGAGAGAGTGGGGTAATTGAGGTTATCTTCAGTCCTAAGTCTGTCAGAAACTTCACACAAGAAATGACATTAGTCTGTGACAACTGCAATGTTCAACATTTTACACTACAAGGTAAGTGTTCCTTTACAATAAACATGTTCATAATTCAAATAAAAACATGAGGGGGATATGTAATATTAAGGACATAAATGCATAAACATTTTTTTTCTTTAACTGGTTTATTCTCATACTGTGTAGTCAGATAATGTGGGGAAATGATGTAGACTACCAATCATCACAAGTTATTGACATATATCACTTGCTATTTAGGTGTCAAACCACCAATTAAAAATCCCTATCTGTTCCACCAAATTTTGCAATTTTTACAGCTTTCTAAATATTTTACCTTAAGTTTAACTTCATAGAAACCAGGTATATCCTGAATCGTACAGGTATCACCTTTCTACATGCCAATTTTCAACATACCTTTAAAATCTTATAAGAAAGATGAGACCTCCCCAACTGAGGTACCACTAAAAATAACCCCTGGTTTTCTGGAAATCTTAAATTAGTATACTATGGAGCGCATTAATCCTCAATGTTTAATGCAAATTCATAGACAAGTAAATTTTGGCTCAAAATGGTCTTAATATATTTCTCTTTCACCAAAAGTTTCATTTCTGCATTTTTGTTGGTTAGTTTAAGTAAACAATGACATCAAATGCACTATTTTTTGTTAGAGTAGGCCTACTTTTACATACGTTCTAAATTGGAGGGAGTAATTGGTGGTTTGACACCTTTAGGACACCTAAATTTTGCATATGTTTGGAGTATTTCTCAGACGAGTGATGCCACATTGTGTTAATAATACTACAGTGTTAAAATAATGGTGGCTTTATATACTGAAAGATGCACAGAGGAGAATGATCAATCAGACACGTGATATATAGATGTATTGGTAATTTGCGTAATTTTATACCTTTTGACAGGAGAGTCTCAGAAAGCTGGTGTTGAGTTGGTATCAGTAGAAAGAGGAACATCAGATCCTGTACCAGGAGAGTTAACAGACAATACTGCCCAACACCTGATAAGATTTGATGATCTCAACCCATTTACATACACTGATAGAGCCATCATTGTTAAAAATCCTACGTAAGTTCTTCATTACACTGCATGAAGACCCATTTACATATTCTCACAGAGCCAACATTGATACATCCTTGATATGAATTGTATGTTATGTCACCCCCGTACTAACTCATATGACTCTGGCAAACTGATATACATTCAAAGTTAATAAAATTATTGAACAAGCATTTTCCATTTGAAACTATTGTCATCTTTCTTTCAAAATTTGTTGAACTGAATGTTAGAGGATTTACAAACTTTATGTTATTGTAATAATACTTTAAAACATTATGTGTAACAGTCTAACTGTTGACATTAAAACGTTATGTGTAACTGTGTAACTGTCCACATTAAAACGTTATGTGTAACTGTGGTAACTGTCTACATTAAAACGTTATGTGTAACAGTGTACCTTTCCACATTAAAACGTTGTGTGTAACTTTCCACATTAAAATGTTATGTGTAACTGTGTAACTGTCCACATTAAAATGTTATGTGTAACTGTCGACATTAAAACGTTGTGTGTAACTGTCCACATTAAATTGTTATGTGTAACTGTGTAACTGTCCACATTAAAATGTTATTTGTAACTGTGTAACTGTCCACATTAAAATGTTATGTGTAACTGTCGACATTAAAACGTTGTGTGTAACTGTCCACATTAAAATGTTATGTGTAACTGCATGTGTAACTGTCCACATTAAAATGTTATGTGTAACTGCATGTGTAACTGTCCACATTAAAACATTATGAGTTACAGTGTACCTGTCCACATTAAAAGGTTATGTGTAACTACCAACATTAAAACAACAATTAGTAACTGTGTAAAGGGTCGCTAGTACATTTATCACAGAGGGATTGATCCTTTCGGGACAGCTAACAAAATGAAAAATATGGATTAAGATTATTTTTGATAACAAACAACTTTTGATTTTATCAGCTTTTGATTAACTCAGATTGGTTGAAGTGTTTCAAAATATTTTTTAAATGAAGCAAAATCTTTTTTACAGAAATGTGTCATTACCATTCCAATGGAATATCTATAAACCTGATATGTCTGACCCAGAGGAGATGGAGGGTAGGAAGATAGACAGGGTACCAGATGTAGATTCTGTCTTCAGTGTTCATCCTCCTAATGGTACACTACCTCCAGCTGGACAGATAGAATTCAAAATAACATTTGCCCCACCCATTGTAAGTATTGGACAGATAGAATTCAAAATAACATTTGCTCCACCCATTGTAAATGTTGTACAGATAGATTTCAAAATAACATTTGCTCCGCCCATAGTAAGTATTGGACAAATAGATTTCAAAATAACATTTCCTCCGCCCATAGTAAGTATTGGACAAATAGAATTCAAAATAACATTTGCTCTGGCCATTGGAAGTGTTGTACAGATAGATTTCAAAATAACATTTGCTCCGCCCATAATAAGTATTAGACAAATAGAATTCAAAATAACATTTGCCATGCCCATTGTAAGAATTGGACAAACAGAATTTAAAATAACATTTGCTCCACCCATTGTAAGAGTTGGACAGCTAAAAGGTAGGAGGGGGTCCTGATCCCGAAATCCCGGGCTTAAAAACATGGAATCCCGATGTCCCGAATTTAAAAAAATTTAAATCCCGACATCCCGAAATTCGAAAAAAGAATTCCCGGATCCCGAAAGGATCAATCCCGAAATCCCGAGCTTAAAACACCCGATCCCGGAGTCCCGATAAAGGTCCTACCCCCCCACCCATTGTAAGTATTGGACAAACAGATTTCAAAATAACATTTGCCCCGCCCATTTTGATTATTGGACAGATAAAATTCAAAATAATATTTGCTCCACCCATTGTAAGTATTGGACAGATAGAATTCAGAATAATATTTGCTCCACCTGATGCAAGTATTAGATAAATAGAATTCCAAATAATATGGATACAGGACGCTCATATATATTTTATTGTTTTGGGATTGGTGGCACATTTGAAATTTAATGTTAAAAAAATTATTTATGTCTTGCGACTAAATATTGTGCCGTAATAAAATATGGTTACTTTGAATTCGTTTGTGAAAAGCCTGCTTATTACATGTACTAAACAATTAACTAGGTAACTAAAGGATGGGTATATACCTAAAGTTCTTTAACTATTACATCAACTAAAATAAATTAAGGACTGTTCTAGGGGGGTGGGTGGTTCAGAAGGTACTTCTATTAAAATTTGATGGGTGATGGTTAGTTTAAAAAGATAGCCTAAAGAAATTATAGAAAATAATCGAATTGAAATTATATGCATGGCCCTCAAACCCCTCCCCCCTCCTTTATATTTAATTCTTGAACAGCCCTAAAGTAAAAAAGGATGTATGCACAGAATTTTTAATTTTTTTCTGACATGCAATACCAACTTTGTTAAAAATCAGTGAAGAATCTTGTAATGGGTTAAAGGAAATTTTTTTATTGCATACTTTTTCAAATGTACCATAACTTCCATAATTTTCCAGGTGAATGAGTTCCACAGTGTATTGCACATGCAGTTACAACAAGTTCCTCCCTTCAGTGAGGGTGGATCTGCTAAATCATCAAAGGCAGGTAGCTCTGAACATGGGGATGATGAAAACTTTGATGACAGTGTTTCAGAAATAATCTTGAATACAGATGGTAAGATAAAGACTTTTCTCAATAGTTTTTCTTCTTATTTTATATTTTTAGTTACAGCTTTTGTAGAAAACAATGAGAACTTACAGTGCAATTTTATAATTTTAGATTAATTATTGATTCAGCAAATGCATTTTTCTGTGTAAAATATTAATTGTAAGATTTGAAAATAATTTTCTTCATTAAGGAAAGATACAAGGTCTTTGTGTATAAAGATATCCTGGTATACTAATGCACATGTATGTAATTAAACGTCCAGAGTGTGTGTATTCATGATTTTGGTGAAATATGAAAGAGATAAATATTCCACTGAAGGAAAATATTTAACGTGAATGTTATCTAATTTCAGTGAAAGAGAGTAGAGATTACACAGCATTAGAAATAGAAGTGAAGGGGAACAGTATTCCACTGAATGTTGTTCTTCATCCTTATGCTATTCATATACCAGGTCAAAACTTGGTGGGAACTACTGTCAAAAAACTATTTGCTGTAAGTTTATCAGGAAAGAAACTTGTCTCAATTTACTCTAAAACATATCGATGGAAACTTTTGATCATCTATTTACTATAGTTTGAAAAAAATCCATATTTCAGCTTCAGGTCAAAGGTATTCAAGGTTATATTTCTGATTTATTCATTTTGATATTTTAATATGGTTTGAGATAATTATATTAAACAGTAGAATTTTAATTGGGTAATCATTAGATCATTGCCTTTTTGTAAAGATGGATTTTTACTCTGCAGATGGCCAATCACAGCAGATCAACAATAACTTTTACATGGCAGCCATGTAACGAAAAACATATATTAGAAGTGGAGCCGCCTTTTGGGGAACTTGGTATGAACTTAAATCTATTTATCTTATTTATACATCTTCAATAACAATGTCATTACAAATGTTTGAATGATGTTTTAAAATATTTTCTTATTATTATCCTTATTAATTAGCTGTCTGTACATTTTCTGTTTCATGAAATATCTTCATACTAACTGCCAGAGCTCACCTTAAATAATTCACCTGTTGTTTAGAGATTAAAATTGGAGTAATCCAAATTCTTCTGGAAATACTTCTGTTACAAAATGATTTTTAAAAATAGATTATGATAAAAGAAACAAGAGTTAGGTCTTGATATACTTATTGTTCTAGATCTTTTTTTTATTTGGGAAAGATAGCTATAGACTATGGTGTATACATTCATGCCAAAAAAAATCTCTGCATAAACTTGACAAGAGGGAAAGGAACAGTGGTTGTATTGCTGTTCTTCATCCCAAAGGTACATTTAGGTTTGCAATAGAAAGCAAAAGCTGTAAACTTACTGTTAATTCTAGAACTATTTGAGAAGAAATCTTTTCTAGATACTACACATGTGCATTGAAGAATCTAGATGCTACACATGTGCATTGCAGAATATAGATGCTTAAATGTAAAATGGTGAGCATTGAAAAGTCATTAGATTAATGAACTAATTAATGTACTTGATCTATAAATTTCTCATACAGATCCTGGAATGGCTATGGATATGGAGATCAGTATTACTGGTGCTGAACCTGGTAAAGTCATCGACAATCTCTACTGTTATGTCATGAATCTGGACGAACCATTACATCTTCATGTGGAGGCTGATTTCAAAGTAATATTTTATGGGGTCAAATAAGTAATATACTGTATTCATCTATAAAACAGCTGTAAATTATAATGTGACAGTGTTAAACTAGAGCAGTAATACATGATCATTTAGAGGTGCAAATGGATTTTTCTAGGTCTGTTTGATTTCATGCTATAGGTTAAAAAAATATGTTAATCATTGTTTTTACCTGTATAATATTGACTTTTGTGGATTGAATCAGTCAATGAAATGGTTCACCCTTGTAGCTTTTTCAATGTTGACATTCTTTTCCTTTTAATAGCTGAGCAGGCCTAGTACATACATACATCAGCGATGTTTTTGAGCTTATTTTGACAAATTTGGCCCAAATTGACTCATTAAAGTGATTATAACGCAATATTATTTTAAAATTCCGCTTTTATTAATAATCGAAACAAAAAGAATTGTATTTTAATTTTTTGTCTAAATCGTAGCTAATGCCCCTTAAAGGTAAGAATCTTATCTGTCAGCCAGTTTGACTTTTGAAAAAGCAGCAAAAATTCTTATTACACTGCGAGTACATACTGACATAGGGAAAAGGTAATTATTGTTTTGATTGTGACTGAAAACTTTAAAAGAGTTTATTTTGCTGTTCTTAAAATTCATTTAAACTACCGATATAACAATTTCTACACTTTTATGATTGAACCAACTTCTGTGTAATTTTCAGGGACCAGAGCTACGCATTGAAGAGCCTGATATAAATTTTGGACTGATTCGACTAGGCCAGAGTATTACAAAGGAAATAACACTGATGAATATGTCACAGATTATTACCAAATGGAGCATACAAGATAGTCCTGTGTTCTCATCATCTGACGATCCAATGGCAAGTTGTTCACAGATTGGCTTATAATTCTCATTCATAAATCAGAGATTCTTGTTTAAAGAGTTGATGAAAGTTTGCTGCTTTTCTATTAAGTAAAGATGTAACTTGGAATACAGGGTTTTAGACCTACAATGCGGAAAAATCATTTTGTAGTATATTTATGTTTTTATCAACTTACTACCTTAACTTCATACAACAGTAATTAAAAATGCTTTCATTTTATATTTCTTGAATAGATACAAGTTACCTGTTGAAAATGTTACAAAATTTCATCTTAGGAAGCTGTTTCTGTTTTAACAAATTCCTTAATTGTATGTTTTTAGGCTGTAAGTGAGTTTACGTTTACACCGGCAAGTGGAGAGGTTCAACCATTAGCTAAGCTGAAAGTGTCTATCAAATTCACTCCAACAGCTATCAAGTCAGTCAAGAGAGTTTTTGAAGTTACTGTTGAGGACGGAAATGAATGGTAAACTATTTAATAAAACCTTATACATAGTACACTAAAGGCAACACATGGTTTTGTATAAATCTATAGTATATGATCTAACACATTATCTGCAGAATTTTAAAACATTTAAAGTGCTTAAATAAGTTGGTTTTAGAAAAGCTTACCTACTATCTGTACACAGAACACATTAAATAACAACTCTTTAAACAATTAAACATGTTAATAAATTACATACTTTGTCAAGCATCTGATGTAACAGTAATTTACAATATTTAAATGTATGCATGCTTAGTAAATATTCCAGTGATTTAAAATTTTGTGAATCATAATACAAATACTAAGCATGAATCATTAATAAAGATATATAAATAGTAAAATCATGTGAAATACAGTCAAACCTGTCTGAACAATCACCTCATTTCAGCGGTCACCTGCCTCTAATGGTCACTTTCAGAACCTCCCAAACGTTTTCTCTATATAATTCAACTCGTCTCAGCGCTCACCTGATTTCCACATGAAATCCTCATTTCAACTTTTTATTACGGTCATTTTAATGTTTCAACTATCATAATAATTATGACTAAATCAGTATCGAGGTCAAAATGAGAGTCGAAACCCATAAGAATTCCCTCAGTTCCACTAGTTTCAATTTCCATTGAAAACCGTATCAACGACTTATTTCTCCACGAATATTAACATACTTTAAATTTTTCTTCAAATTAACAGCACCGAAATCTGCAAATTTTAATTTACTGCTCACAAGTACGATAACTCTACTGATTGAAAAAACAATTTGTCCTGATCCCAGGTACGAGCCATGTTGGAATTAGAATTTTTTGGAACCTCGTTTAAAAGGTCAACTCTCTTGAGCAGTGACTTTTGATAATTCCAAAGAGTGACGGTTAAATACAGGTTTGACTGTACATTTATTTAAGAATTTTTTTTAGAGAGATTTCTGTTCTTGGATTTATATATAAATTTTTTAGTAACATATCTGCCATTGGAGAAGTACAGTCACCTATGGTATGTCTGTCATCTTGTGAGATTTGCATGGAAGATGTTTACAAACAGGTACCAGTAAGGTACCAGGCTGTTCTTGTTAACCAAACACTTCTTGCTACAGAGTTTAAATGGGGTCAGGTGAGTACACATAAAATGTTTTGCTTACATATTTATATGTCTTTTGCTTTGGAAGAAAAGTTTAAAATCAAATTTCAAATTTTGTAATGGTTTACTATTTATTTTTTTATGAATGTCAAGTCAATCCCTAGACTATGAATTCAAATGCAGTTTACACAGAATTGATTTGACTGAAGTAAAATATTTTATAGACTGCTGAAGGGCAAAAGTTATTTGTCATTTAAGATAATGTCTGTTTGCTTTATTCATCCTTTGTAGTTAATGTTGTACTTATTTCAGGTTGAAGGAGAGCATGCCAAAGACTGTGAAATTGAGCTTGACCCAATGAAAGGTTGTATAAATCCCAGGGAAGAGAAAGCCATCACTGTAAACTTTAGAGCTGTTAGGAGTGTAAGTACCAAATTTCTGTCATGTGGTATCCTCAGTTTTTTTACACCAAATTTCGAATTGCCAGAAAGCAGTCAGATTATACAGTATTAAGAAATAAGAGAAAATGTTGATTCCACCGGTTTTTGCTTACATTTGCCGCCATGTTTTTTTTTACCTAGTAGAGAGCTAGCATTTCCTTCCAAATTCTTAAATTGCTTTAATCATTTGTTTTAGTGATATTATTATGCAATTTTGATAAAAAAAAATAAAGTATTGCCTAATAACTGTTAAGATCTTAAGCTTTAGTACAAATTTCTTGTTTTCAAAAGAACGGACATGTGACTTTTTTTTCTATGAATTACAAACAGTGTTCCAAATGATATGCCAGAATGAATTGTCACCAGACAAGGATCCAGAGCCATATTGTTATCTAAATTATCTTCCCTTAAAGTTCAGCATCATGGCAGCATATTGTCAATGAAAATAGCCATTGTCAAACACTGAGCAATTGGGTTCTTTATTTTTAAAGCATAAAGAGTATTGTACAATGGAAATATTTTATTTTTAGGGAGAGTTTTCAGACCTTAGAATACCATGCTTTGTTGAAGGGATAGAATCTCCACTATATCTAGGTCTATTTGCTGATGTTAAAGGACTATCAGCTTCATACAGAATGTCAACAGATGGAAATAATCCTCGGTAAGTTCCTTACTAAGAGCATGAAATGCCCCTTCCACGGTATCTAGATTTATTTGATGTTGTTTAAGGATTCCCAACTTCATACAGAATGTCAACAGAGTCCACTTTATCTAGGTTTATACTGCAATTTTCTATTTGAGCAATCAAAAAGAAACTAAATTTTTTTTGTGAAACCTATGAATATATATATTTGGGTCTCTTTCTTCCATCAAAGTCAGAAAATCATCACATCTTTACGGAATACTTCATCTTACCTTTTAGGATTTCAATATGAACAAACTGATATAAATATAAAAAGATTAATTGTAAACCATGTGAGCTAGTTTATATCTCACAAGAGAGTAACTCACATTTTCAAAACTTCCATATGATTTTACCCCCCAAAAAATGAAATGGTAATGTTAACTGTAAGGAAATGATTACACATATTTAAAATTATTTGATGGCTTTTATTTTTGTGGTACCTATGTTCATGAATTCCAGATATTTCATATTGGAAATCCTTAAACCTTTTCATAGGTTCAGCCAATGTCAAATTCCAGGGTGAATAAATATTGTATCCTACCATATTTGATGATCATATTGAATGTATAGACTTATTACAATGGTAGAGCCCAGCATTGATTGTTAAACTTTTTTTTCAGATGTGCAGAGAAGCTAGACTTCGGTGAAGTGTTGATTGGTACAACCCCTAAGTTATATCTCCATATTAGTAATGAGTCTGCTATCTCTGCCCATTATAGTATTAGTGCAGACTACTTCATTGCCAAACCTCCGACACCTCCTCAAGACAAAGCTAATAGAAGGTAATTTACTACTTATATGAATCGAATTATTAGTTTACCAGTTAACTTATTTTCAATGTGCACCAGGTCAGCAATTGTTATACAAGGGAGATCAAGGGAATCTGGATAAGTGGAATTTGTTGGGACATAACTATTTGAATATCTGAGGCAGCAAGTAACATGATGTTTACAGTATTGTACCTTATATTGTCAACCTGGTATCTTAATGCTCAAATGAGTTTATATTCCAACCCTTCAAATCGATAATTATATTTTTTTTAATAAAAACATGACAGTACACATGTATTGTATATAATGATAAGTTACTGTATTATAAATTATGAGAATACTTGTGTAATAAAACAGTTGATAAGAGATGAATGTATTCTTACATTTGTTGCAATGGATAACCATGATTTCCCAGTCAAATCAAAAATCTAAATTTCACTCCTCTGACATCATACAATATTTGAATTACTACTACAGTTCAGAGCTGGGCAGCATGAAACATGGCATTCATCATTTGAACTTTCGTGGATAGTTGTCTCATTGGCAATCATACCACATCTCCTTATTTTTATACATACACAACATATTCAAACATTAACCCTGATTTTCACAGTTATATTTTCTTTAAATTAACTTTCTCTTTTCTTACAGTACAAGGAAGTCATTACTAAACAAAACACCAAATCTCGCAGACCCACTTGCCAAAACATCGGCAAAAGCTAGGGCAGGTTAGTTGTGGTTTATTTATCATATTGTAAGTGTTTTACTTATTCCAGGAAAGATATCAAAATGTCTGTAACTTTCAACAGTCACCATTGTTCTGTAGGTTATGTTAATACATATATAAAGATAATGTGCATCACATGTGGCTCTGCCTAGTAACTACAAGATTTCTGACTTTCAAAATCCGGCTATATTAATATTCCAGGTTGAGGTATTATTTTGGGATGAACTTTTATGCATCTGTTTTTTTTAGATTTATGCCAGGCTATGTTAGTACAAGGACTTGGAGCCTCATTTGTGGCACTACCAGCATCAGGCAAACTTCAGCCATATCGTCAGGAATTGATTGAAATAACAGCTTATAGTGATATGTGGGGATCATATACAGACACAATCAACATCAAGGTAATTACAAAGATAACACAAAAAATAATTTTTGGTCAACTGTCGCATTTTACAGCATAGTGCCATAAATGAGTCAACTTTTTTAATGGATGCCAAAAAGAACTAAAATGTTGAATGAACTTTGAATAAAAACTAACCTCACAATACAAGTTTTATACTTTTAATGCTTTGTTATGCCACCCTTCTGAACAAGAACTTGTCTGCAGCAACGTGGAAGACTTGAATAAAGTCTCTGAATATAAAATAATGGCACTTCTAACCAGGCATGCAATAATTCAGGCTTTAGGTCTTCAACATTACAACTAGATAAAGTCGTTTTTTATTTCATTCATCAGAAGCCATATATTTTCGATTAACCTAAGTCTAGAGATTGTGCAGGCCAGGTAAGTTGCCGTATTTAATTTTGACTCTTCCATCTTCTACAGCCCTCGACCGATGACCGGGTGCATTAATAATCATCTTGAAATAGATAAGGTTCATTGCCAAAATGTTTGGTTACAACTTGCCATAAATATTATCAAGTATTTCTATATACTTATCAGAGTTCATATTACCATTTACCATAGCTAATGTACCAACTTCATTATATATGAGACATCTCCAGACCAAAATTTTAAGATTGGTGGATGGTCTCTGTGCAACTTATCCTAAACATTCTAGTCTCCAAATTTCATTTGATTTCCTCCAAGCTTTAAGTGTACCATCAGGTTTGATCACTATCATCATCTTATCTGTAAATATAACTTTTTCCACTGATTGTTAACAGTCCAATGAAGTCTACTGCTGCACCAAGCAACTCTTTTCTTTTGATTTACAACCCAAAAGCCAATATTCTTCCATACAGAGGGGCCTCGGTGGCCGAGTGGTCTAAGTAGTTACTACTGTAATCACTAGCCAGTCAACAATGAGGTTGTGAGTTCGAACCCCGCTCGTGCGGGTGCACTCCACTCCAATCTTAATTGACTAGGATTGTCAGTTTTCCTATCGAAGGTCGGTGGTTTTCTCCGGGTGCTCCGGCTTCCTCCACCAATAAAAACTGGCCGCCACGAAATAGCCCAAAAGCGGTGCTTAAAAGTGGCGTTAAAACATCAAAAATCAAAAATCAAAATCAAATCTTCCATACAGTTCGTTTTGTTGTACCCTAATGCATGTAATTTTCTTTGGACAGTTCGTCTGGATACTTTTGCAGGTGTACATGTGTTCAATTCATTTGTGATATCCTTTAAGTTAGAATGACAAGACGTATTCACCATCCTTGACAGAATGTTTTCTGCCCGTTTTGTGACAGTTTTTCTCCTTCTGCTTTGAGGCACATATTCTGTACATGTATTACCATGCATCTGCCAATGCTTCAAAAGCCTGGAAATTGTGGATTTACCTTTACCTAAGCTTTTCGCAACACTGCTTCCTTCATGACCCCTTTCAATTATATTTATTATGGCCTCTTTTTGTGTTGTTTGACTATTCTTTCCCATGTTTCACCATTTTTGTTGATATCAACAATGGCTAAACTGCTCTACGATTCTGTTATAAAAATCCAAATTTACAAAGATAAGTTTGAGTAATCCCCCTTCGAACACGTTTTACTGCTTTTACTTTACACAACATCGATAATGACATTCTTAAATTCAGGCAAAGAAAATCATCACCCAACACCATTAAGAAAATTGACTCAATTAAGGCACCATGCAGTACTTTCAAAAAAAGAAAATCTTCTGTATAATCTTAATAAAATTGCCTGTAATGATTGATATAAGAGGTTTTTTACTCATTATTGAAGGGTTTTTCGGTGATTTGTACTTGTTTGCATCTATGTCCTTTGATCTATGGATAGTTGTTAAAGGTCGTAGTTGTCACAATGGCAATCAAATCATATCTCCCTATTTTTATATTGGTGGTAAATGGAGAACAGTAACATGACAACATATATATGACATGCTACTGGGTTAACCTTTTGACCTTTTGTATTATAGTTCTGACCATCCCTTTTTGAGGATTGAGTAATTATAATTGATATTAAGAAATTATATGAATGTAAATGGTCCTTGTTCAGATAAATATGTTTGTTAATGTAATTCAATGACAGTGAAGAGAAACACCCCATCCAAAGCAAATTAGAGGATGTTAGAGCAAGCTAACCTAAAAATAAAATTGTTTTATTATATTTAAGTGTCCATTGGACAAACATATATACTGATATTAACAGTAAGGAAAGAATTGACCATATAATTACTTTTAACAGTATTACCACAGTTATCATCCACAAAAGGTAATGTATAAACCACAGGGTACTTTTACATTGTGTAACCAGAGGTACTAAACTCATCCATACTAATTTTCTAGAGAAGAAGCAATAACAAATGTTCTAAACTTTAAGATATATCAAATAAAAATCAATGTCCATTTGTAATGGCTACTTTTGAGGGAACCTCACAAGAACAATATACAGTTATGTCAAAATAACAAACAGATAAACTGATGGGAATTTCCAACTTTTACAATACATTATGTAAAACTTGAAGAACTGATATTGGCACACTTTAAAATGGGGGGAGGGGGGTTAACATTTTGTTTAGTGTGGATGAGTAAAGTACTTATGATACAATTACCTATAAATATAGTTTGGGTAATTAGAGTTTGATATAATTACCTGTGAATACAAATAGGGTAATGGAGTTTGATATAATTACTTGTGAATACAAATAGGGTAATGGAGTTTGATATAATTACCTGTGAATACAAATAGGGTAATGGAGTTTGATATAATTACCTGTGAATACAAATAGGGTTATGGAGTTTGATATAATTACCTGTGAATACAAATAGGGTTATGGAGTTTGATATAATTACCTGTGAATACAAATAGGGTAATGGAGTTTGATATAATTACCTGTGAATACAAATAGGGTAATGGAGTTTGATATAATTACCTGTGAATACAAATAGGGTTATGGAGTTTGATATAATTACCTGTGATTACAATTTGGGTTATGGAGTCTGATATAATTACCTGTGAATACAAATAGGGTTATGGGAGCCTGACACATGTTTGATTTTATTGAAATAATACAAAGATTTTATGAGGTAATGGTGAAAACTGATTCTGCAGATTGCAAGTTTGATTGAATACCCATAGCACTGACTGAAGAAGCCAGAATTATATTATACACTGTATATCAGCTTTTTTCTTGATTTTTCATTTTCATTGATTGACTGAGAATCATTAAATAATAACGATGAGTATTGGAAACATTCGAGGAAACCAAATTATGTATTCTGCTGCATGCTAAAAGTTGAAGGTTTGAAAATTTTTAGGATTACATTTATAAAAAGTATGCATATGCAAATATCTGTGTAAAGGTGATTTTTTTTGGATATATTTTACATAATGCCAATTGTTCGTGCTTTGACAACAGTCAATAGCTCTTGGTTAATTAACAGTTATAAACATGTGACTGATTATAAATAAATATAATTAAAATTTAATATAATAAAAATATTGCATGAATTGAAATGATAACACACAAACATTTGGTAGAAGGATTGAGTATGTGGTACATGATAGGTAAATTAAGTCCATACTGTACTATGTTTATAGGTTGGAGATTTGGACACACATTGTATACCAGTCAGTATGAATGTCATTGGATGTCCACTTAACTTCCAAATGACTGCAGCTAAACATGAACAGAAACCAGTTGTCAGGTAACCATTAATATATCTGTATAACTTCAATAGTTATAGACAAGTCAATCATATGAACCAGGAATCAGTTGGGAATATTTCTTAAGGGTAGAACCAGAAAATAATTTTCAATCAGACCATTCAATTTTTAAATAAGATAAAAAAGGAAGTTGAAAAACATTGATCAATTAAAGGGGTACAAATTGAATCTGTTTGCTCTACTGGGCATTAAGAAAGAGAGACGAAAGATACCAGAGGGACAGTCAAACTCATTGATCGAAAACAAACTGACAACGCCATGGCCAAAAATAAAAAGACAAACAGACAATAGTACAGATGACACAACATAGAAAACTAAGCAACACAAACCCCACCAAAAACTGGGGGTGATCTCGGGTGCTCCGGAAGGGTAAGCAGATCCTGCTCCACATGTGGCACCCGTCGTGTTGCTTATGTTATTACAAATCCGGTAAATAGTCTAATTCGGTAGGTCACATTCGTGAAAAGAGAAGGGTATTGTAGTTACGACATAAGGAACATATCCGATATCATCCGATATCATCTGTGAAACGGTTATTCCATAACGGTCAACCAACTCGTGATGGCGTCCGTAAAATTTATGAAGGGATGATTTCAACTTCACCATTTGGAACTCTTGGTTTAATAGCTTCCTTGTGAGCAACAATCCTCTATCAAGGAAATCATGATAGGAAATATCGTATCAAAATTGGGAGATATATACTCCGTATGCAGGCGCTGCTGGAATGTTGCTACATAGAAATGGAAAGTTCACAATTGGGAAGCTGAAATCATCTATTTTGTCGTAAAGTTTTGTTTTCAACCGACCCTCATTGTCAATTTCTAGATGTAAGTCAAAATATGAGGCAGACTTAACTGTATCTGTAGTATCTTTTATGTCTAGTTCGATGGGATAGATTCGTTCAACATAGTCACCAAATTTTGTATTATTTAATGAGAGAACATCATCTATATAGCGGAACATAAAGTTAAAGGATATTGCTAACTTCTTATCTTTCTTCCTAAGAAGTTCCTGTTTGAAGTCAGCCTCATAATAATAAAGAAACGAGTCGGCAAGAAGAGGGGCACAATTGGTTCCCATTGGAATTACGACAGTCTGTTGAAAAACACGTCCTCCAAACGTAACAAATATGTTGTCAATCAAGAAATCAAGCATCTTGATAATGTCAATTTCAGAGAACTTTTTGTTTGAATCAGAGTGATTCTTTACAAAGTAGGATTTATCATTAAGTGTTACCCTTGACTGTCCGTTCATCCCATTTTGGTTTCTGCACTCTTAACTTAAGTTTTACTCATCCAAATCTTATGAAACTCATACACAATGCTAAGAACCAAAAACTCACAGTTTGAATTTGGGCAGTGAGTTATTTACGGTTATAGAGTATACCCCTTTTTAACTTGGAAAATTACAAAACTTGAGCGGGGGCATTCATATCCTCAGACACATTCTTCTTTTATTTCCTATAAACCTTACAGGAAGCAGTTCCCTGAAGGTGGCTGGGGAATAGAAACATGGTCACTTTGGTCTTCATCCGACCGGTTATAAAAACCCTTACTAAAGTGGGGCATCCGTTTGTCTGTGTTGGATGTTCAAGTATGCAGCAATGTCGAGTCAGAATGGGGACGTTAAATCTGATGCCTCGTTTAGAGAGTGTCACGCTCACTGACTGTTAAGAACCCTTGCAACAACTCTTTAAGAAGTCCTTAGATACCCTCATTTTCCAGTGGTAGTTCAAATTTCCCCGACCTTCATCCTGGATGGCCTGAATTACAGAACCTATTGTATTTATTTTCAATTTGTTCTCGTCCTGAACATGCATGAAATATTTGCCACTGGACATTAAGAAAATATCAATCATCAATCTGGGAAGTAGTCGAAGTTCTGGAGGATTCTAGATAAAGCCATATTTCAGTATCTTGTATAGAATCGAGGTTAATGAAATGCCACTCTTACATAAATATATGATTATAAAATACTTTTCAACAGATATTTTACTAGGTAAGATGCAGTTGTGAATTAAATATATTTGTATTATAAATTTGTTGTTTTTATTTACAATATTGTTAATTTTAATTAGTTCATGTCTTTTACTAAACAAATTGAATTGTACAAACATGTAATAGTATTTCAATAATGTCTTCCTTGATAATATATATTTTCTAATTTCTGTCATTGGCAGTAAGTGTTATATCTGGATTTGATTTGTCAAAAGTTAACTTTTATAGCTGACTATACGGTATGGATTTTTCTCATTGTTGAAGGCCGTAAGGTTGCCTATAATTGCTGACATCCACTTCATTTGAACTTTTGGGATAGTTTGGCAATCATACCACATATCTTTATTTTTATATTGAATGGCATATATTCAAGATGTCAAAAGTCATAATTTTCTTTTTTCACATTTCCAGAAACAAAATAGCAAATTAGTTGCTAACAGTACTTTGAAGTATTAAAAGAACTGAAAGCATATCATTTAACATAGAAACTTACATCAAAAGAGGACTCAGTGAAAAGTAGCAAAATAAATAATATATCATACAGATCAGAGACTGTTATATATTGTGACAATCTAATAAACCAGTATAATCTTGTCATATAGAAATGTATGAAATATAACAGCACGAAAAGTGAACATGCATGAAAATTAATTTTACACTAACAGTTGAACAAAAGATATATTATAATTATACTGCATGCAGCATATTATTTTTTGCAATACATTGTTTAAGAGTTATTGTTTATTACTGGGTTTTTTTTTAAGTAGCTGAATTTATTGTTTTATTTTCTACATTAATTTGTTTAAGGTAAAGTTACAGACCCTATGACTATTTTACATCATTAGACTGAACTGCTTTTGCCGTTATCAGCATTTATGAATGCTTGTATCTTCTTTATTAATTGAATTCTTTCATTTATTCCTATTGCATATTACAGATTTGGTACCCATGTGTCAGGAGTAGCACCTATAAATAGATCTATGAGAATAAACAATATCAGTCCTTTTGGTAAGTTCATGTAAATCATATGTCATTAAACATTTGAACATTGGTTCACAAACTAGCTTATGTGTATGCAGTAAACCTAACACTTAGTTGTGTACTTTTACAAGTGGATAGCAGTTATCTGTATTTTATGAGCTGAAACCAAGAGCTGAAATCATTTAGGTGAATGCTTAATGAAATAACTGATATTTACAGAATATATTGGAAAATCTTAATTTTTACAGATATTCAAGCAGACTGTGAGACTTATTACTTTTGAATTTTTACTGGCATCCAAATAGACTGGGAGAGTAAATACATTGTGGTAATGGTCTTACATTAAACAGTTACTTGACTAAATAGACTTGGGTAATACAGTGTTGTATATTTAACTTCATAAACTTTATGGTTAATTTTCTTGGAAACATGTAAATTTGATTAATTATTATAACCAAAGGAACAAAGTTGCATAGTTATACTGTTTTTGACCCGTCCGTCTGTCTGTCCCTTTGTCAGTCTGTACGTCAGTCTGTCAGTCTGTCCATCAGTCCTGTTCTTGTAATCTCAACTCATCTGAAACCACACAACAGAATTTCATAAAACTTTGTAGATAATAAGGACATACTATGTAGATGTGCATATTGACAACTTTTTTTGTAGGAGTAATGCCCTTTGAACTTAGAGTTTTTGCCTAAATGTACTAGTGCAACAGTTTGTCAACACAACTCCTCTGAATCCACACTACGTAATTTCAAGAAAATTTGTAGTTAATTAGGACATACTACGTAGATATGCATATCGACAGAAAATTATGATTCAATATTTTTTCTAGGAATTAAGCTCCTTTGAACTGAAGAATTTGGGCCTAAATATACTACTGCAATAGTTTGTCATTGCAACTCCTCTGAAACCACACAACAGAATTTTATGAAACTTTGTAGATAATAAGGACATAATATGTAAATGTGCATATCCACAAGAAATTTTTATCAGTTGACTTTTGTAAGAGTTGTGAGTCATTGAACTTGGGAATCCGATAGAATTTTGTTTGCCCTGTGACAATGTGGGGGCGTTGGGTATGGGACCATGCTCACAAAGGTTCTTTTAATTGTTGTCAGAGAAGACTTAAAAAAAACATGCATTATTTTATTCTTTTGTGAATGAATATCATAGTTTATCCTGTAGTTGACCTTTCTGCTGTACAAATACAGGTTGACAGATAACATGACGCGATAAAGGTATAGTGTACATTTATAGTCTCCAGGTATCTTGCATCTGTTGCAAGGGAATGGTAATTTTCAAATTACTGTTTACATAACAGTTCAAATTAGGGTACTCTATGTGGTCTGCATTTTAGTTGTGTTGATTTCATTTAACAAAAAACACAACTTCTTGGATGAAAAAAAACTATATGTTTAAATTGCAGGATAAAAACAATATTCGTACAGTGTAGGAAAATATAAAATTTATTTGTTCTTTCATAGAAATCTGAGTAGGCTGTGAGTCATACAGCGTTTTATATTTAATTTTACAGATATCCGGGTAGATTGGGAGACATACAATATTGTTGAAGAAGACAACAAGATACTGGATGTGATGATAGCCTTTGGTAATGCTTTCCCACCTAGAGATACTAAGGGAATAGAAATTATACCACCATGGCAAAGTACGTTGGAAGAAAGAACATTATATTTCACTATTTAAAATTAACTGTAGATCAATTTTAATATGATATAGCAAACACTAGAACATTCACCCAAAAACAATGCAAAATATGTTTCAGTATAAGTTTGTATTAAACTTTAGCAAATCACTTAGCAGTTTATTTCAAACAAATTATGGTAATCAGAATTTTCAGTAATATTTCTTTTGTTTTAGATGCACTCCTAAAAAACATTTATGTAACGTGTGCACATTCTCAGCCTAAAAAACTTGCTTCCTTTATTATGTAGAACTTTTAATTTAGATTTGAAGTCACCTTTACCATTTCTGAATGTTAAAAGATTAATGAAGTGTTAACTGCACAAATCCTTCCTGGTTTAGAATTTGTTTATTGCTGGTATTGCTGCATATTTACATTACAATAATCTATAACAGGCGAAGAGGAAACGGGTAAGAACATTATTGCCAAAGAAATAATTTCATCTTTTGCATGCATCCACAAGCTTAAGCTGGAATCATCACACAATCTGGTTCCCTGCTTGATATTATGATAGATTAAGGATGTACTTAGTTCAGGTTTAGGAATTTTTGTCAGATGTTCAGACTCCTTGGTTTTTTTCCTACCATACAGGGTAAAATATTTTGCCCCATAACACCCATTTTTTCTTTTCATAAAAGATTTCAATAGCTCATAAAGGACATTTACCAAAATTTAAGCAGATTCTATATTTTTTTTCTTTCGATATGAGACCCAAATAATACCAATGCAAATATAAGGTAAAAGTAGAAGTCAGCCTTTTGCCGCCATTTAAAAAAAATTAAATATCTTGAAAAGGAGCTCTATAACCTATCAATATTTTTAGCTTATTTTGTTCCTTAACTAATGCTCTTCTGACTTATAGTGTCAATTTTAAATTCTAGATTTTTTTAATTTCACCTAAGTACATCCTTAAGTCTGAAACTGGAAGGAAATTTTAACAAACGGAAGACATGAATAACAGTATATTAACATATTTTTTACCTCACCTCAGTGGTGACTTTTTACATAATTCTCTTTTAATTCATGTTTTGTATGATAAATTATTGTAGACATTTACAAAATTTTGTATGCACTGGAAAATTATTAAGAAAGTATTGTATTCCCCCCCTCCACCATCATGGTACAAATAAATTTGGATTATATTTAGTGGAAGGTCAGACTATCCAGTTGGGAACCAGTGTGTTTCATTATTCATTTTTATGCATGATATCAGATTTGGCTCACTGTGAGATGTTTTAAGCACGTTCAGGTGATGCTTCAATTTTCACATTTGAGATATAAACCACAATAACATTTTAGGATATATATTTGTGAGATTTTTTGTAACAACTTGTCCATAAAATCCTCAGATGTCAGTGGCAGACATTTAGCCATGTCTGAAGCAGATAAAAGCCTAGATGTAGTTCAGAATTTCATCATTTTCATTCTTTGTTCTATTGATATTCTATATAAGTCTCTTTCTTTGTGTCATTTAGAATTTCAACAAAATAATATTCTTTTTATATAATCTAGATTCTCTTTTTTATGTCTTATACCAAGATTATACATATTTACCGTCACTTGATCAATTCTATTATCAAATGGCTCTCATGTTATTATCTCAATACATTTTACCATCTACAAAAAAATAAAAATGATGCTGTTAATTTCTTCAAGCTAAATTTACTTTAATAAATACACAGCTCTATTTTAAAAGTTTGTGAATATTTTATTTGCGTATTTCATAAAAATAATCAGAAATTTAGTTTTAAAACTGCCACAGTAGAAATATGTTTTTGAGTGTTTTGGCACTAGTATTCTCACTGTGTTGCAGTATTGGTGAACTTTGATGATTAAATATTTAAAGCTTGTAAAAGGAAATCCATGTAGATAACTGATATTGAAATACAAAAGGATTACTACCTTGATAACTTAATAAAGTTAAACCTCTTATTTCAAAGTTTTAACGTACTTGGAGCTATATATTTAGATACTTGCCTGTCAAAATTTTAATATTTTCAGGAAGTAAATTTTCAAACAGAAAAAAAAACTAATGGTGAAGATCATTGATTGTTTTTATCTATTCATTACCAACATATAAGTATTAATGACGAGGACATAAAAAAGTAGCTTTAATATGTCATAGTAAAACTCCATTATTTTCTAAAGAATGGTACATGTGTAGAAAGGAGGAGAGAAGTGGAGTATATGTTAATGAGCCAAAAACCCAGCTATGAAAGTATATCAGAATATATTAGCCTACTTTGGGGGATATAAACCATATGGTACCCTCAGAACCCCATTATTACTTTTAGTTAGACCATATTGCTAACCAAACTTTAATTCTAACTATAGATCTACCTTTGCCCTTCCTAAACCATGACCTTAACCTTATCTAATCCTAAATAGTAGTAAAAAAATAAAAAAAATAAAGGGAGTCAGCCAATTTTTTAAAATGAAATTTTAGAGATCTTCATATGGCCATCAACCATGTGCAGATGCTCATAACATGTACAAATTAAGCTTTAATGATTTACCATTATGATACTGTATTGTGATGCATTTTGGTAATTTTTATAGCATGGTTTATGATATGAAGGATGTATTGCTATGCAATAAAATACATGTACCTGGTAATGGAAGTTAATAATTATTCCATTCAACAAAGATGACTAAAGAAATGATTATCAATTATTTATACTTAAAAAACCAATGAGAGTGAAATATTTTATAATACATAACCATGTAGAAGAATTGTTGTAGGGAGTGGGGTTGGTTGTTTTCCATATATTTTAATTTGTTTATTGGCTTTTTAATTTTAGCATATTGTTTGCAAGTAAATCTTTAAACTTGAGATTCCAATCAATCAAAATGTGAGTTTTATCTTGTGTCTTTGTATATACAGCTCCTGAACCTATCAAGAGAATGCCGACAGATATGATTCCAGACACAGCTGATTCTTCACCGCTAGTCAGCAGAGTTCACTCCAAATATTCACTACGTTCTCAACCACACGTTGAACTTGAAGAAGACTCGGAAGAGGAAGAGGAAGAGGTAGAGCTAGAGGTCAAGGAGGAAGAAAACCGACTTAATGTAGTGTCCCTTTTCTATAGAGCTCATGAAGGGGTACCAGCTCAAGAGCCTTACAACATAAAAGCTAAACAACTGGTAAGTACACATTTATGGGTGTAATGTCTCTTCAGTTAAAAGGACAGAAAAGCAATGTTTCTGACTGATGAATAGGGCTGTTATAAAGGATAGTTTCATGCATATAGTCTGTCTGGACTACAGATATCAATATCTCAGATATAAATATAGTCTGTCTGGACTACAGATACCAATATCTCAGATATAAATATAGTCTGTCTGGACTACAGATACCAATATCTCAGATATAAATATAGTCTGTCTGGACTACAGATACCAATATCTCAGATATAAATGTGCAATTACTCATACATTTTATCAGAAAATAATTTTAAATTATTGACTGGTAAGACAATCTGAGAAAATAGAAATATCTCAAGAAGACCATTTGTAAACAGAAACCAACTTATTGTAGTAAATTGTTGATAATTTTAAACTGAATTTATTTGCAAAAAGATTATATAATAAATTCTGTATGATTTAAATTTAGTTGAAGATCATGCATATTTATGAAGAAGCCATTGAGGGTATATGTCAATTGATGGCAACCTGATTACACAAAAAACATAGACATATTGAGGTCAACATACAATCTTCAACAATAGACAGTGTCTAAACAATTTGTCAAGCTCTGGATTGCCTCAAGTCTAGAAAAGTGGTTAATTTACTATAACAGAGACTATCAGAGATCTGACTTTTTAAAGAATCTGGTTAAGTACAGACAACCTCTTCCAACAATGTCCAAGGTTAATTTCCAGGACCCTACAGATAAATTATTATGTGGAAGGGTTACATTAGCTTCTTTTTAACTCAACCTTCCCCTTCTTGATCAGTGGAATAACAAAAAGTACTTAGAAGCAAGGGTCCAGAAACAGTCATATTCACCAGATATGAAGATTGATTTATTATAATTTTATACCAAAGGTGATACCAGCTAGAGGATTCTCCAATGTTAACATCACATTTACACCACTACCAACAGAAGTAGTCACACAGGAAATGGACTGTGAAGGATTTGCCATTGCCCATATGAGTTTAGATAAGGTATGATGTAAGCTAACTTTGATGGAGTACATAAAATCATAGAAATCATAACACACAGTGCCTCCTATCGTAAACCTTGTATACATATGATACAAGACACAATGTAGTGCATAGAAACAAACCAAAAAATGGGAAAAAATATAATCAACATCTTTGTATGCAGAGAATATATAACTTTGTTATTACGTACTGGTAGTATTAAGTTTGAGGCTAATTATCAAGATAAAAGGAAGATACTGGATTCAGAATTTTATACAACAAAACTATGCTATCTTTTTATTTAAAACAATCCCACATATCCTTCTATAAATTACCTATATAAAATTCTTTAGTATTCAGACTGTTTGAAACGAATGTTTCGGTCGATGTATAGCAATGATTAGCTATGAATGTTTATTTCTATTTCTTAGTGTAACTATTGGTTTATTTGCAGAATCCGAATGTTGAAAATAAAGTAACAAGAAAACAAGGATATGAAGTTAATCCACTCCATCTTGATATGGCTGCTCATCTTAAACCTGCATTGTGAGTAGATTATAAAATACTGTAAACCAACTTATTTCACAGATACTTTAGTGTTTAGCCCTTTCTTGCCCACTTCGCAGCGATATATTTTGCAATGTTCAAATTTGCTTGATGTAGTTAAATAGGAAAGTTCAAAGTTTTACATATTTGTGATGAATTATATTCTTGTAATTTTCTACTCGCGAAAATTAGCTGTTTTACATAATAGTGGTGTTATTGAGATTAACTTCTGTATGTTATTTGACTAGTTACAGGTATGTGGTAAAATCATTTCAGTACTATGTACTCCACACAGCAGTTCGCATCTGACCCCTCATGAGTTAGGACACTCTTCTCATATGACAGTTTCATTTATAACAGGACAATATTTCCATTGCGTGCAATCCTTCACCAGACAAGTCACATTTCATAGTTGCCATAAGATTATTTAGAAAAATAAGTAAAAATATCATTGTAATTTCCAAAATAAAATTTATATCATGCTATTTATGAAGTTGTAATATAATGTATTTGCAATATAACTTGTTTTCAAGCTACAGAAAAGATCCAGTAGAAAGAACTTCAATGAATAATAGACAGCTGTATTAAGATTTTTATAAAGAAAAAAAAAGAAGAATGTAGTCACCTATCTTGTTTTCAAGCTACATTATGAAAAAAAAAATAATTACAGTACAATCTTATGAAAATGTATTATCTGAGTTACCTCCCTTTATAAATCAAATTCATTTAAAAAAAAATTCTGCATTTAGAAATTTGAATAAGAACAAAGATTTTAACCATATATTATTACAACATGTACTGTAAATTAGTTTCAAAAGATAAAAGAAATAATAAAGTCTTTATTTGAACCAAAAAATTGTGATAAATTGTATTACGATAAAAGTACAACTGGGAACAATACAACAGGTAGACAGCTAGTGTAATGTGGAAAAAGTTGTTTATTGGTAGTAAATGTTTGGATTGTTTATTTCAGATTAAGTATGGAATGAATAAATGTTTGGAATGTTTATTTCAGATTAAGTATGGAATGTATGGACGAGGAGGGCATGAGATACAGATCTGCTATGAGTGATCTAATGTTGGACAGTCAGGGAAATGTAAGCTTGATTTTTAAAGCATCATACAATTTTTCTATACTAGATTCCCTTTGTATACCCATTCATCCTTGCACTCAAGTTCTTTTCCTTTGTCGTTATGCTTTCTTTTAAGTCATTAAATTAATAGATTATTTTCATAACCATTAAAATCAAGCTCTCTCATACAATCTAAAATGTATAATTTGATTGATAAACATTCTTTTTGTAGACACATTCTGAGAGTTTTAGAGTAATGGGAGCTATATTATCTAATCAGACAGAGAGTCCACTTGCCTTTAGGCTGATATCCAAACCTCCATTCTTGTTAGTTGATTTAGATCCCTCAACAAACAGAGAAGAATCAACTAAAGCTTATGTTACAGAATTCCAAACATTAAAACCACAACACAATCTACCAGTAAGTAGCTTATGTTACAGAATTCCAAACATTAAAACCACAACAACATCTACCAGTAAGTAGCTTATGTTACAGAATTCCAAACATTAAAACCACAACAACATCTACCAGTAAGTAGCTTATGTTATAGAATTCAAGACATTAAAACCACAACACAATCTACCAGTAAGTAGCTTATGTTATAGAATTCTTGGAATGAATTTTCTTGTTTGAACCTTCTTCTCAAGAAGAACATCTTCGCTAGCCAAGGGTTACGATCCACTTTCCTCCTCTCCACCCTTGGCAGATTAAACCAACATTTGTGATAACAATGTTGCGCCATCTATCGGTAGATTAAAGTCACTCCCATTCTTAATACATTATTCTTGACCAATGGTAGCACTTGAACTCTTTAATTTGGAGGTAAAAACACGGTAGCGTCTAAATTCTACACACTTGGTAAAGCAGGAAACGAAAATATACGTTGACATTAACGCATTTGTGCAAGAAACATACACAGTAACTTCTATTAGTTGATTAAAAACATTCGAATTGCCACAAAATATAGTTGTATGTTTAGGGATGTAAAGACTTGTTGCACAATAAGCATGTGGCAATTGTTTACATACACTTTCTACATTTACACATGATCATGTTATAGGCGCTTTTTGATTGGATGCAGTGAGTTTCGACTGCAACCAATGAAAATCATTACCTTGTGTCTCCGAAATTCTATCTCAATCCGCCAAGGGTGGAGAGGAGGGAAGTGGATCGTAACCCTTGGCTAGCGAAGATGCCAGAAGAACTGTATAAATTTTTTTCTTTTTGAATTTTTAATATTAACCGTTTTACTTTATATTACAAGAAATTATATATATTGTATTGTTTTAGGTAAGTTATAATCTGTTAAAGTGTTAACTGAATATTTCTTGCATTTGAAGACAACCATTTCAGACTACACAAACCTATAAGAATAACTCTGAGTTGAATAAATGTTGTAGGTAAAGATAGCATTTCAGACAACCACAGACTTGCTTAAATACTTAAATGACTCGGACTATGATAATGTTACCTTGAGAGAACAGGATGGTAAAAAGATTGACATTAAAGATGATCTTGTTGTAGAGTTCAACAATGGAACCACACAGGTAAGCTATTTTATTGACATAAAAAACTTGATAAATGTGTTGTGGGGCAACAGTAATTAAAAATACTATAAACCAACTTGTTTTGGCAGATACTTTTTTTATGTGTTTATCCCTTTCTAGCTTATTTTGCACCAGTATTTTCTCGATTTTCTGAAGCTGTTGTTATATTAATAAAAAGAAGAACCGAGTTTGTCATTTTCAGTATGATTTATTGCCTACTTGCAAAAGTCGCACACAATAATATGCTTTACAGATGCCATAATTTTTTTGAGTGTATATAGTTTACTGCTGAATTTTAATTATAAAACAATCGGTCATAAATATTAAAAAAAAATATTATGGAGGAGTTTGAAGGGCCTGAAAATAACGGTAGTTTTCTAAACCCATTTAAGTGAGTTGACATCTGTTTGTTGTTACTTTTTATGTATGATTATATTGATTCACACTGAAATGTTGTTTTTCTTTAGAAACTGCCATTGTATGCTACACTATCAGTACCTCAGATGGAGTTATCAAAAGAATCCTTGGACTTTGGTACCTGTTTAGTAGGACAAAGAAGGGAACTACAATTGACGATATCTAACAGGACAGCTTCTCATTGTCACTGGAGAGTTTATCTAGGTATACTACATATGTCTTTATTTATTTGTTTTATGTTTTGGTCGGTTCACATCTGAGCTTTATAAATGATTATCTTAGTTCATATAGTTTTCACTTATTTCAACAAACATTTTTTCAACAATGACTTTGTCATATATAGCAATATTAAACAATTATAAATAGTAAGAAATATAAAATCAGATTGAATAAATGATTTGTTCTTGTTTATTTGAAAAGAAATTAGTGTAACTATTTATATATTCACAGATCCATGGTTTGTCCTTATTATTTGAAAGGATACTTTTCCAATTATTTTTAATTTTTACAGATAACACATCAGGCTGCACCACTAATGATACTTTCTCCATTGAACCAACAGAAGGATATTTAGAGGCTCACATTACCCATGTGTCAGACAGTAAATCTCTGCTCAAAGTCTACTTCACTGCTAAGTTAGTATATTTGTTGTCAGATTATATATGCTTTTTATGTTTGTTTTTTTGGTTGGGGTTGAAGTTAGTAAGAACAATTATCCAGCAAATCTGTTTTGAGAAATAGTCAAAACTTTGCATTCAATTACTGGCCACAAATGAAATTCTGTTGAATATTATTTGCAGTAAAAATCCTTTTCATTTAATGGGAATACCAGAAGAAAACATAAAAAAAATTCTTCATTTTGAAAATGGCAGACCCTGTCCCTTAACAAATTTTCTCTTTGTTTTCTTATTCCTTTTTGAGACTGCTGAGAATAGAAATTCATATTAAAAACGTAAAAAATAGGAATTTTCATCTCAGTCCATGAAACTTCAAAAACAAGCATTCAGTTATGATATTTATAGCACACATTTAAAACCTGGAAAATAATAGGTTTAATCATTGTTTTAAAGTATTCATTATCAGTCAAAAACATTACACAAGGTTTCATTAAGAACCTTTTGATTGATATTGGTATATGATTTGGTTATGAAGCAGGTGTTATAGTATGAATAATATTGTTACATTGGTTGCAGTGACATAAAAACCAATAATATCACCTGTGAAATAAAGATGATAATTTCACTCCTAGAACAATGGTTGTTGTGAGGATGCTGTTGATAACATAGCATCAAAATGAATTGAAAATGAGTGGCTTATCCATGAATTAAAATATCCAAAAATAGTCACTCATTGAATATTTTTCTATATTTGATATTTTGGAAAGTTATTTAATGATTAATGTCAATATAACTTAGAATATGATGAAAATAAAGCAGTTATATAATTGTTATAAAAATAAGAAGATGTGGTATGATTGCCAACGAGACAACGCTCCACAAGAGACCAAATGACATAGAGGTTAACAACTAAAGATCAGCTTACAGCCTTCAACAATGATCGAAACCCATACTGCATAGTCAGCTATAAAAGGGCCTGAAATGACAAATGTAAAACAATTCAAACGAGAAAACTAACAGCCATGCTTTATGTACAAAATAATGAACGAAAAACATATATGATATACAGCAACAAACGACAACCATCATCATTACTTTATCATGATTTATTTTTTCCAGACATTCTGAGTGTTATGAAGCTGTATTTGTTTTCCGAGGAAACCTTGGAGAAGAACCATGTAAATTGTTTATCAGAGGCAGTGGATCTTATGATGAGAAACATGAAGCCATTTTGAATGTGTGAAATTCATTGACTGTCATGTGACTAAATTCTAGAAATGGCATCTATGTGTATGTGTATTCATATGATACATTATTTTTTATGGAGGAATTCCCTCAAAGCTGATTGTATTTTTGCATGCTACACAGTGCTTATGCAAAAGCTTTAGTTTTTCAGATTGCTTGTAAGTCCTCCATTTCCTGTTTAAAGAAGATAACCATCAATATAGGATGATAAAAGTTCTTATTTTATGTGGTCTAAATGCTAATGCTTACAATTCTTAACTGATCTCTTGAAAATTATTCTCCAGCCTAAAGTCTTGAAGCTTTCTCACACATCATAAGATCTCCAATATTTGTTTTCAAAAATTATTTCAGAAAAAAGTTACGAATAGCGTTATCTTTATTATTTAATTCTGAAGGAGGTTAGAGTGAAATGTACATAATTACATTGTGTTTTTAAACCATTCTGTAAAATGGTATAATTCTTGTTGATTTACATTTGTTATTATATAAAACATTCCGTCCAATGTTCCATTTTATATTTTATTTGGTCATGTTTCTCTGGGAATTCATGTTCTTAAATATCTTATTTTTGTAATTGCAATTGGGCAACTGAGATGAAGCCATCCGTTCTCTACATTGTATCATTTGCTTTTTCTTGACTGTCAAAAGTTAAATCTTGTCACTCTGTATTCTAATCAGTTCTCCTTAGAACTTAACCTTTAAATATAAACAGTTTTAAAGGCCAATAGAAGAATTTATTGATTGAGATATGAAGTGAAATTAGTTACATAGAAGAATGGTCTAATATTCTTTCAAAGGAACATTGTCTGGTAGAAATAAATTCAATGGTATGTTTCCAAAATTGTTACAGGAGCATACATGGATTGATTCCAATTTTGAACAAATCATTTCGTCTGTTCATTATCTTATGATTATAATCTTCCTTAAATAATGTTGACAATTTTACAACAGTATATTTATAAAGATCTTTTTTAGTTTTGATAGTCATGTCAATATTGTTTACAAATATTTACAATATGCATCAAACGTGAAATGATAATAACATGTATCCATATATATAAACAGAGCATAAATACAGGACACTGTTGACAGAGGAATACAAAGGGAAAATATACATACAAGACCTAGTTTAATCCCTATTGTTTTAACTTGGTTATTAGTTTATATATAAGTGCTAATATGTTGTTTCATTTGATGGCTGAATTTAAATTATATCATCTTTGATTGAATTGCAATGAAGATCTATAAAACAGAATTTATGTAATGAAAACTTAATTGCGAGTTAAGTGCTAGTTCTTATTATTGCAATTATCACCCAGTTGAATTATTCGCAATAATAAAAACCTCGCAATAATTTCTGAATTTACATGTAAGTAGTACAAAATGAATGTGAGGATAGAAATGTAAAATAGCATAATGGTGGCATCACGAGTAAACAAGTACTTCACTTTGAGATTTCAGTAATTTTTCTTGTCAAAGTCTCGTCACTTCTCTCTATGATTCTACAGTAGTGTCAGCCTTGATATATACATGTACATTATTTGAATGTGTTTTATAATCCTGAATTTTAAATATTGCTCTTTTTACATGTTTAAACAAATAAAGTTTACCAGTGTTCTGTGATGATAAGAATTCAAACCATATTTATATTTGAGAACTGTGATATTAAAATTATTGCATTATTGAGTTGTTTTGTCTTTTTAAAGAAATAATCCTTTTTAAATGCTGTTGAAAAGTCCATAGATTTCTGATTTTAACTGTAATTTGGTTTTTAGGTATATATAAATATTTAAAATCTTTAAGTTGATTTGCACTGAAAGAGCTATTATCAAGTAAAATTAAATCTTTCAGAAATTTGAGCCTCTTAGAGTCTGTTTTCAAATGAAATACTGCTTTAAGTATTAATATGTATGATTGTCTACCTCAGCTAAAATTTGGATGGTAGGGTTAATTCTTTTCTATCTCAGCTAATGTAGGAATTGTAAGGCCAATAGTTAATCACAAAATTGTCATTGACTCAGTTCTGTATGAAATATACAAGTTTTCAAATAAATTTTCATGTATATTACAAAACTAGAAAATGATTTTAAGTTACCCTTAAAATTAAATGTTGTTTTGTCCACAATTGGTATTTTGAAAATACTTTGCAATAATAGATAAGAAAGGAATCATCATAAAAGTTCACTACATGCACTTTATAAAAGCAAAGGAATAGTGCTTTTATTGATGTTCTTCATCTCAAGGTCACAATGAAGCCTTCAACAGCAAGCAAAAGCACACACCACACTGCAAGTTCAGGACTACCCCTAGAAAGACTTGTGTTTTAATGAAGAACACAATTGCAGGAGACTATCAACAAATTATGATAGATATTGGGCAAAGAAACCTAACAAATACTGTCCTAAATTACCTGTTAACCTCACTGCAAAATACAGAAACCAAACAATCATTTAGACAACCACAGTGTTCATAAGGATTTAGCAAACTTCTCATGCACAGAGAAACTTTTTAACAGCCTTGACACTACACAAGAATTAATGGAAAAAAGGGTAAGGTGAATTAATTCATGGTACAAAATTCACTTCACACACTTAACAAAACAAAAAGCAAAGAATAGAGATTTTATTGTTATTTATTTCAAAGTCAAAGTGAGATCTTCAACATGCAACAAAATCTCACAACAAATTCAAAATGACCCAGAGCACCAGTTTAAGCGATTTCTTTGCCAGAGGCCAATCACGTTACATCTGTATATCTAAAAACAAAGCTGCAGGGTAGTATCTACTGCAGCACCAGGGTGCCAATCATACAATAGTTTTTCTAAATAATTGAGGGTAAAAATGATGAAATGCATATGAAAAAAGAAAATATTCTCCCCTTTGAATTTTTAGTACAGCCGTTTATGTTTCATTTGATGTTGTCCAATATTATATTCTATAGTTATGTTTTGATATTAATATTCTTTTTTGAGATAGAAGAGTACTCTTGTGGGTGAAACAGTCTGCTAGTGGCATCACCAAATCAGTAAAAATATGTTACTGATTTAATGTGCTCAACACACGATTCTAAAATAAAATTCATTAGGCAACCTTGACTACTTTTAGCACAGAAAACACTTCAGAATATCAAAACCAAAATGGTTCTAAAATGAACAGAATATCAAAACCAAAATGGTTCTAAAATGAACAGCCAGAACCATCTAAAGCCCACTTAGCATTAGAGAGTTGTTACCTTTGTTTTAGAACAAATGAACAGCCTGAACCATCTAAAGCCCACTTAGCATTAGAGAGTTGTTACCTTTGTTTTAGAACAAATGAACAGCCAGAACCATCTAAAGCCCACTTAGCATTAGAGAGTTGTTACCTTTGTTTTAGAACAAATGAACAGCCAGAACCATCTAAAGCCCACTTAGCATTAGAGAGTTGTTACCTTTGTTTTAGAACAAATGAACAGCCAGAACCATATAAAGCCCACTTAGCATTAGAGAGTTGTTACCTTTGTTTTAGAACAAATGAACAGCCAGAACCATCTAAATAGATATAGGAAGATGTGGTATGAGTGCCAATGAGACAACTCTCCATGTAAGTAACAATTTATAAAAGTAAACCATTATAGGTCAAGGTACGGCCTTCAACACGGAGCAATGGCTCACACCGAACAGCAACCTATAAAGGGCCCCAACAATTACTAGTGTAAAACCATTCAAACGGGAAAACCAATGGTCAAATCTATATAAAAACGAGAAACGAGAAACACGTATGAACTACATAAACAGACGACAACTACTGTACATCAGATTCCTGACTTAGGACAGGTGCAAACATTTGCAGCGGAATTAAACGTTTTAATGGTACCAAACCTTCTCCCTTTTCTGAAACAATAGTATAACATCACAACATAGAAAGACACACTATAAAATATCAATTGGAAGGCTTAACTCAATCAAAAAACGTAAATTAACACACAATGAACGAATAAATTTGATCTGTGATACCTGAATGCAAATACATAGTTAATAAAAATTATAAGGGATAAATAATTAAGGTCAAAAGTAAATAAACAGGTTTAAACAAAGTTAAAGTATGATACCACTGTGAAATGTTAAACAATATTTAGAAAATCATCACTTTTGATTCTGCGTCATATTATACACAGGTAAATGAAAATAATTTTGTTGTTAAGTATACTTCTTCTTCTGTGTGTATAAAATCTTCCGTTTAGTCCACTTAGCATTAGAGAGTTGTTACCTTTGTTTTAGAACAAATGAACAGCCAGAACCATCTAAAGCCCACTTATCATTAGAGAGTTGTTACCTTTGTTTTAGAACAAATGAACAGCCAGAACCATCTAAAGCCCACTTAGCATTAGAGAGTTGTTACCTTTGTTTTAGAACAAATGAACAGCCAGAACCATCTAAAGCCCACTAAGCATTAGAGAGTTGTTACCTTTGTTCTAGAATAAATGAACAGCCAGAACCATCTAAAGCCCACTTAGCATTAGAGAGTTGTTACCTTTGTTTTAGAACAAATGAACAGCCAGAACTATCTAAAGCCCACTTAGCATTAGAAAGTTGTTACCTTTGTTTTAGAATAATTGAACAGCCAGAACCATCTAAAGCCCACTTATCATTAGAGAGTTGTTACCTTTGTTAGAGAGTTGTTACCTTTGTATTAGAATAAATGAACAGCCAGAACCATCTAAAGCCCACTTAGCATTAGAAAGTTGTTACCTTTGTTTAAGAACAAATGAACAGCCTGAACCATCTAAAGCCCACTTAGCATTAGAGAGTTGTTACCTTTGTTTTAGAACAAATGAACAGCCAGAACCATCTAAAGCCCACTTATCTTTAGAGAGTTGTTACCTTTGTTTTAGAACAAATGAACAGCCAGAACCATATAAAGCCCACTTAGCATTAGAGAGTTGTTACCTTTGTTTTAGAACAAGTGTATTAACCAACCAATAAGATTGTACATTTAGTTAATTAATTTAAAAGGAATAACTGACAATACGGTGGCAGGGAAAATTCAGAAAAATCCCAAATGGCTTGTGAGAAAAAGATTTGAATGCTAAACTTAAATCAATGACGAGTGATTTATATATTAGCGGGATTTCTTTTTACCAGGAGCTTGTTCTCCTTTAAAGAAGTTCGCTGGTGAGTTTTTTTTTTTAAATGACATGGTTCCAAATTTGTTGTTCTTTATGGAAAGTCATTTGCCAAAAAATATATATGTCTGTCAACTTGTTTTTTAAATATAAGAATTTAAAAGTTGAACTGAAAGATGACGTCTCTGGATTTTAAATAGATTTTTTGAACAAATTTTAACTACTGTTGCAGGAATGTTGTTTAAGAAGTAGTCATAACTGTACAGCAATACACGTATATAGTTCTGCTTAAATTTATCAAATATAAAATCACTGTTAGTACCGATAAAGAGTATTCAAAAATCATACTAAAGTGTTAAATTAGCAGTATTCAAAGGATCATCAAGTTTATATGGAAAGTATTTACATTAACAAGTTCTATAAACAACATCACTAGAAAAATTAGAATGTTATATCCCGTTTGCAATAAGGTTTTTACATGTATACAGTCCAACTTCCAAATCACTTCTTTGTATCTATGAACTTTATCTGTAGCTAATGGTATAAAATGGTAATCCGACACAGGTTAATGACCAAACAGCAATTTAATGATGTTGAGGATTTTCAGGTGCTACGCTTCTTACTAATTATTTACAAGATGTTTGCCTTTTAAAGGAGCATGTTCACTTTTGCCAAAGTTTGGCTTGAATTCTAACTATCATTAAATAAATTTAAAAAAAGTTCACACTTTGGTTTTTAAATGGATCTTTTTCAAGTTTTTTGTTAAGCAAAATTAATATTTTCACGAAGAAGTACATTTTATGTTCCAAACTAAACACATTAAATTTGGATATATTGTCACAACATGATTTTGTGCATTATTTAGAACTAAAAGCTTCTCAAAAACCTTTGCTGCCACCTATTATCCAAAATGTTCTGTTACCAAAAGCTGTCAATTTTATTATTTAATCTGTTAACAAAAAACTTTTTGGGATCAGGGGTTGCAGGCAAAGTCATACATGCGAAAAATGCTATAAATTATGAAAAATTGAACAATAACTGACGAATCTACAACATTAATAATGCAATATTTAGGGTTCGGAACTTCCTTACTTGCCAATTTATTATGTGATATACCAAAAAAGTTATTTTGTATTAATAGTTATATCTCAACTATTACTATGTTAAATTTGTAGCATATTAACAAGATTTAATAAAAAAACACCAACATATGTTGGCCAATTTAAACCCTTTGTAAATCTTCCCCTTTAAGAAGCTTACCACAATAAGTGACTATGGTATTACGATGGTCATCCGTTGCTCTTCTTTCGACCAGCATTAAAACCATTGTTAAAGTGGGGCGTCCATTTGGTTGTGCGGGATGCATAAATGCGCGGCCACGTCCGGTCAGAATTGGGATGTTAAATTCGGAGCCTCTTGTAAAAAGAGTGCCACGCTCTATGCACGTTAAGAACCCTTGCGACAATTATTTAAGGAGTTTACAGGTGACCTGTTGCATGGCTAAATATCTGGCCTATCTATTGATATCCTCATTTTCCAGTGGCATTCAAAATTTCGACCCTCTATTACAGGACTTCCTTTCGACTTTATTGTTAATTTGTTCTCGTCCTGAACATGCATGTAATATTTGCCACTGGACGTTAAGCAAATAACAATAAATCAATCCTTTAAGAAGCTGAAACCTGATGTAGACTTGAGCTATCTATAATGCGGGTATACGTATCGGAGTACGTTTCAGACTCATAAAACCACATCCTCCCCTAAGAGGAATCAAATTACAGTTTGGTGTGATAATTTAAAACAGATATTTCCTTGCACATTATTCCAGAAATAAAATTATGATTAAACATACAGCATACGATTTTAACCACACGACTAATGCACGATTTTAACTTTTAGTCATTCCATATATATGTATAGATACAGACACAGGTATTATATCTACAGATATATGTCCAAAATGTTGAGGGTAGATGCTTTTAAATCCGAAGTCGAAGGAATACTTTCTGATCACTGAATTGACACTATCTTTAAAGCAACCTTTAATGCTCAGCATGATCCGTTAATAAAAAGAAAAGAATGCCAAACGTGAAAGGTGAAACCATGGAGCTTCTATAGGTAAAACTGTTTCGTTGACGGATTCGGTCCACAAAAATCATTCGTATGTATACAAATAAAACTGATTTTTTTCACATTGTTTAAAATCTATGACATGATATCAAACAGACCCAGATCGTCATTATATTTATACACGTGCTTGTCTGTCTGTCTATATATTTATATTGATATATCGGGTCAAATGATAAACGGCAGTCTTCATAGGTCATGTCGATGGTTATTTAGATGATGTCTAGTCCTAAAATACGTACGAAATCACGGCTGACGAGTGTATGCATTGTTTATTGTTTCCTATGGAACTTCTCTACAGCTAGTAAAATTTTGGTAAATGTTTCGGGTGTGTTATTATTCAAATTAAAGAGTCAATTTCGGTGGTAATGAATTTGGAGACTAATGCCACATGCATACGCACCAAATTAGGTAGAATTATTCTCTTGCAAGACAATAATATAAAAGCGAATTTTTGAGATTCTATTTACATGGCTTTTCATAGCAAATTATTATTTCAATATTCCACTTTATAAATGTTTGAAACCAAAAATTTAATACTTTATTTTTGTTACTGAATCGTTACTAACGCCCCTTAAACATAAAATGTTAATTGATTCTATATCTTGGGAGAAGAATAAGTGTTGCATGTTACATTTCTTCTATATTTAGGTTCAAATCAACGAACGTTACATGCAGACAAATTTTCTTGAAATCTGAAATACTACCCAACAACTAGTACTTTGCCCTAGATAGATATTTTACCATCTAGCCTATATCTAGGTCTTTAAGCGGGCTTCGTCGCAGGCGAAAAAAAGAGAAATAAACATATATATAAGACGTTTTTGGATGTAGAAATTGAATTTGCATACTTTTTTTATTGCAGCATACATGGAAAGGAAAGTTTGGATGTGATCTTCTCATACAGTGTGGTATTCCATTATAATACCACACTAGGTGGGTATGTGCTGTTCTATAACAAAATTATCATGAAATTGAGGAAAAAACACAATACATGTTAAAACATTTTATTATAAAACTATTCGGCCATTATCAACCTTCGTTTGATAAATGAAATATAAACAAAATTTGACATATTTAAAATATGAAACATGATGTCAAAATGTAAAATGTAGAAGACTGATAGCTAACAGTCAGTTTGACAAACTAGACATGAATGATAAAGATTTGCAAGATTCACATACTATGTGCTGTTTGAGCATGGTTTGCATATATACAATGTACAGTGAAAAATATCAAGGCAAAACGGTTGTTGTTAATTCATTTCAATGGAATGTTAGTGTATATTGACAGAATAGCTATCCTGTAGGTTGTACTCCATCTAAACAACATCCCATAGCTTTGACAAGTCCGTGTTTTGAATCTTCAATTTCGTCTTTAACGTCAAATTTCAAATCATCGGTATTGATACCATCTATCATGGCAGGGGATTCAGTGGTAGCTTCTTCATAAGTTAAATGTTCATCTGAAAGGTTAAAAAAACGCCATGTTATCTTTGTAAATATCAAGTACTTTTGAAACTTGTTGTACAACAAGTGACTTTGCACAAGTTTTAAGAGAAGAGACTTTATTCAAAATGAGTTAGGTTATATCGCTTAAAACTTCCAAAATCGGGCTTCAATTCTAATATGATGAAACAGTTAAAAACAACATTGGACTTTTATCTATTGTATACTTGTACATGGAAAAAGTTAAATGTAGTCAATGTAATTGAATGGTAGGGTACATTGAAATACGTGCATATAAACAGATAAACCCTGAATTGTCAGTTAGGTAGTTTTTGTTTACTCCCTATTGGAAGAGTAACAATAACCAAATGGTAGGACAGGTGACGAAACGATGACTGAACAATTTGTTTGACCAGTTAGTTATTATATGTTAATAAAAGTTAATATAGAATTCACATGCACAACAAGAAAAATCTACTTTAAAGCAATAAGTATACACACTCTAATAGATTAGTTGTATGTATTCCATTCAATAACAGTGTTTATAACCAGATGAAACCCCACCTAACTGATAGTCCCTTAAAATTCCATTAGTCTCCGTGATACTTGCAACAAAGACAACAAGTTAGGAGCCTGTATTTTCGTTTGTTGCTGTACATCATATTTTTTCTTTCGTTTGTTGTTTGTTGCACATAAATCAAGTCGTTGTTTTCTTTGTTTGAACTGCTTTACATTTTGAGGTGCTTTTTATAGCTTGCTATGCGGTATGGGTTTTGTTCATTGTAGAAGGCCGTACGGTGACCTAGAGTTGCTAACAACTACGACATTTGGTCTCTGTTGCGCAGTTGTCTCATTGGCAATCATACCATATCTCTATATTTCATATTATAAGAATATATCCTGTTGACTTCTCCCCAGAGTACCTGTGTTAATGTGATGTGATAACTATTCTTAACTCTGACAAAGTAAAAATCCCTACGCCTGACTTCTGTCCAGTAAACTTGTGTTAATGTGATGTGAAAGTCGTTCTTACATCTGACAAAGTACAAATCGCTCCTACTGAATTCTGTGGGATCCCCACAGTACTTGTGTTAATGTGATGTGATAACAGTTCTTATCTCTGACAAAGTACAAATCTCTCGTCCTGAATTTTCTCTAAGGGTACTAAAGTTAATGTTATATGATAACCATTCTTACCTCAAACACAGTACATATCTCCTCCTGACTTCTCCGGGATCTCAAAAATACTAACGTTAATTTGATATGATAACCATTCTTACCTCGGACACAGTACATATCTCTCTTTTTAACTTCTTTCTGATGTACTTGTGTTAATTTGATATGACAACCATTCTTACCTCGAACACCGTACATATCTCTTTTTCTAACTTCTCGTAAAGGTACTTGTCTTAATTTGATATGATAACCATTCTTACCTCGGACACAGTACAAATCTCTTTTTCTAACTTCTCCTAAAGGTACTTGTGTTAATTTGATATGATAACCATTCTTACCTCGGACACAGTGCATATCTCTCTTTTTAACTTCTTTCTGATGTACTTGTGTTAATTTGATATGATAACCATTCTTACCTCGAACACAGTACATATCTCTCTTTCTAACTTCTCCCCGTGGTACTTGTGTTAATTTGATATGATAACCATTCTTACCTCGAACACAGTACATATCTCTCTTTCCAACATCTCCCCGAAGCACTTGTGTTAATTTGATATGATAACCATTCTTACCTCGAACACCGTACATATCTCTCTTTCTAACTTCTCGTAAAGGTACTTGTCTTAATTTGATATTATAACCATTCTTACCTCGGACACAGTACAAATATCTCTTTCTAACTTCTCCCCGAAGTACTTGTCTTAATTTGATATGATAACCATTTTTACCTCGAACACAGTACATATCTCTCTTTCTAACTTCTCCTAAAGGTACTTGTGTTAATTTGATATGATAACCATTCTTACCTCGGACAAAGTACAAATCTCTCTTTCTAACTTCTCCTAAAGGTACTTGTGTTAATGTGATATGATAACCATATTTACCTCGAGCACAGTACAAATCTCTCTTTCTAACTTCTCCCCGAAGTACTTGTCTTAATTTGATATGATAACCATTCTTACCTCGGACACAGTACAAATCTCTCTTTCTAACTTCTCCCCGAAGTACTTGTCTTAATTTGATATGATAACCATTCTTACCTCGGACACAGTACAAATCTCTCTTTCTAACTTCTCCTAAAGGTATTTGTGTTAATGTGATATGATAACCATATTTACCTCGAGCACAGTACAAATCTCTCTTTCTAACTTCTCCCCGAAGTACTTGTCTTAATTTGATATGATAACCATTCTTACCTCGGACACAGTACAAATCTCTCTTTCTAACTTCTCCCCGAAGTACTTGTCTTAATTTGATATGATAACCATTCTTACCTCGGACACAGTACATATCTCTCCTCCTAACTTCTCCCCAAGGTACTTGTGTTAATGTGATATGATAACCATTCAGAAGACAGGTTCTTTGACTGTAGTCACTGGATAATTTCCTCAAACATCCCTTTCCTGATAAATGATTGCCGTACGTCCAACCGGAACCACAGTCTGCAACATAATTATTTTATTGTCATATAACAAATAGTATTTTAGAGCTCAATAACTATATATTTTAGGACTTCCACATATCAAGTTAAGGTTATTAAACAGAACTTCAGAAAACTATACAACAAAACAATGCACACTAAAGGTTACGAAATATTTATATGGACATTTAATCTAAGTAATGTATAACTATGGAAATGCGATTATCCATATCAAACTGCACTTTAAAGGTCTAAAATGAAATACTTACTGATTACTGGTGATGCTATTGAGTTAGAAACGAAAAAAAATCCCAGAAAAATATTTGTTGCTGTTATTTTTATGTCTTCCAATGAACACATCATACTGTTAGACTTTATAAACTGAAATGATCCTGTCAGCTAAGGCTGCTTCTATTCATATCAGTAATACGTCCTTGATCATTTGGTTTGTATGTCATTATCAGGAACCAATACAGACGTCACATAAAGCCGTTTCAGCTTTGACGCAGAAAGGTTAATGGGTGATCACAATAACGTGTTTGTAAGTGCGAATAGATTAATTGTTTCTTGACATTCAATAAATCCGTATTTATTTGCTAAAATCTTTTGAAAATTGTTTCCATTTTTAGATCAATCAATCAATTATATTAACTTCTACGATCACCTGTCAACATGTCTTTGTTTCCTGACAAGGAATAAAGGAAACGTCAGTGGGATTATACAATGAAGTGGACAGTTAAGTTGTTACTTATCAACAGTAAACACTTACTCCAGTACAGAAACAGCCATTCATCTGGTTAACCATATATTAATTAGTAATTTTGTTTTGATGAAAAAACATCTATGCTTATATTTGTTGATTCGCTTATTGTTTCCTTAACTGTAAAATTCTCTTAAAATACATCCTTGGGACTACTACTCATAAAACTTATCTATTGGTCCAATATTCATCCACATGTAGCAACCATTTTTTCACGCTAGTCCACTACAATAAATAATTTAGGTTTAATAGTCCAACTTATAAACTACTTGAGGATTCTCGTATTATGATAACATCTGAAAAAAGTGAACTTATTACAGTGGTGTAGGAGTCGACTGAAAAAGTGGACAAACTTCTGAAAGTGATAAGCAACAACAAAATAAATAAAAAAAAACTCAAAAAACTCAAAAAGCAAAAACAAAACAAAAGCAAAAAAAAAACCTTCTGAAGTCTAATAGTCTAATAGTTTAGTAGTCAGTCGATGTCCTCTTTCCTTTTCTATCCTTTTTTTTATATATGCATTAAAAAAAATAGCCAACAGGTTTGTGTGTGTATGTGTGAGGGGGGAATGGGGTTACGAAGAGACGCTTACCTTGTCGACACACCCGGTCTCTTTCTTTTGGAGTTCGTGCGATTCCCCCAGTGTTTGGTTGGTATTCCTTATTGGAATTATGAGACCACCGAATGCGACTTATCGGCAATTTTTTTTTAACTTACCATGATCAAAACGGCGGGTGTTGCTAGTGGAGCAGAATCTGCTTACCCTTCAGGACCACCTGAGATCACCCCAAGTTTTTCCTTGGGCTCGTGTGCTCAGTCCGCTTAAGTTTTATTTGTAGTGGTTTGTTTATTATTGTTTGTCTTTTCGTCGTTTTCCTTTAGTTTTATCTGTTTTTCTTCGACTTCTGATTTCTATTGTACCCTAGCTATGTTCTGTCTCTTTTTTAACCATGTTAGAGTGAGAGTTACACATTCTGATGTTTTGTTCTTGGGCACAATTCTCGACATACATGATTAAACGAAAGGTCGTGATGTTGTCTGAATTTCTTCGACAAATGTTTTTTTGCCCCCCCCCTCCCCTTTTCCACCTTTGTATACTCCACTAAATGTTTAAATAAAACAAGGAGAATCTGCAAATCTGATTTCCTTTTTTGTGTGATAAAAAATCGAAATAAAGATGATAATAATGTGTCAAAACAATGATTTAATTAAATCATTGCTCACAAGTATGTAAACCTTAACAAAACTCATAAATAATATATCACTCCTCATGTCATTATCATTCAAGAAGGACAAAAACGGAGAAAAAAAAAATCATAAATTTTCTAAGGACAGTGGTCATAACTAGGTCATAAGTATGGTAACTTGACCAAAATTTGTATGTGATCTGAAAATAGGCATTATACAATTACAACTCAGATAGCAGCTCTTTAGCTTCAAATGATACCAAAACAACGAAACAAACCTCCTCTTCTAAGATCATTTTAGAAGTACAAGGGCTATAATCATTAGGCCAAATATATGTCAACTATAACGAAATTCACAAACAATGATATGTTAACAATTTTAATGACACTTCCTAATTGAATGATCATGAAATAGGTTCAAATGAGATTAACTAATACACCACGACAATTTTAACATATGTCAGCTCTATCTTCAAACAATGCTAAACATTGAGAAGAAAACAGTTATTTTGTGCTATAAAAATAAGATGTGGTATGATTGTCAATGAGACATCTCTCCATCAGTGACCAAATGACGTACAAGGTTAGCAACTATAGGTCACCGTACGGCCTCAGCAATTAACAAAACCCATACCGCATAGCAAGCCCCAAATGACAAATGTAAAACCATTCAAACGAAAAAATAACGGTCTGATTTATGTATAAAACAATAAACGAAAAACAAATATGAAATCAGCAAAATAGACAACCACTGAATTACAGGCACCTGACTTGGGACAGACACATACATGTATATATGTCAATCAGAATGAAACTAACATATGTTCTGTAACACTGATGATAGCATGATTCAAAAGTTTCCAAATTCACCTTATAGTCTGCAAATTAGAGGTGAGCAATGTTATTCAAATGAAATTTCTTAGTCAATTTCCTATTATTAGGTCAAAAGTGTTTTAATTTGAACTAGCTTTCAGTAACCAAGAGTACTCTTAGATCGGTACTTTGAGTCTTTGATTTTTCTTTATTTGGACTTCGTACCGATCTGATGATTCAACAGTTCCAATAGGGTTTTACCGCCAGGATATAGGAAGGGTTGACCGCTCACAAACATGTTTAACCCTTTTACACTCTGTACGTGCCTGTCCCAAGTTAAGAGCCTGTAATTCAGTGGTTGCGGTTGGTTGCTGTTTGTCATATTAGTCAAATCATACATCAGGCCGTTGGTTTTCTGGTTTTAATGGTTTCACTTTTAATAATGCCTCTTATGATCATTTATAGCTTACTATAGGTCTGTTGTTTTCTGAGAAGATTTTTTTGGTGGAAGAAGACTTCAAGTCTTCTGAAAGCCTTTACTGCCGGCTTTAAAATCATTGAACCGTCACCAGGACGTATGCCGTATCCCTTTCTGTGCTTTACAATTTCATAGCAACTTCCGTGCCATATCTTGACACCGATGTTTACACATTGAATCATTTAATTTATTAGTTAGGCTTGAAAAACGATCACTATCGTTAGTGTTATAATTTCTCATGTTTTAATATATTAATATCAACCCTATTTTTTATGTAAATTATTAGATTTCATCTCATCTTACATGAACGTTATTTGTTGACTTGTTACCGGATGTCTTTAAAGTAGAGTTTGTAGTACGCATGCGTGAATTTGGTATCGGGTCGGTTCGCCCTGATTACATGTTCGCCCTTGGTCCGTTCGCCCTGAGTTCGTCCCCATAGAGTACGTTCACCCTGAGTTACTTCTCCTTACTTTTATCGTGGAAGTATTATATTGACTGCTTTTATCAAGGACGTTTTATACGTCATTGCAATTATTAAAAAATAATAATATTATGGGTATTAAAGTTTAATAAACTTATTCAGATATTTATATGGTATAAATTCTCGAAATTCATGAACACACATGAAAAAAAATTAATTAAAAGTTGATGGCTTGTTTTGGAGCATTAATAGGTCATGCTCATAATTTTCACTGATTGTTGTAATAATTGTCTTTGGTAGATTAATAATTGGAATTATCGGAATAAAACAACTGGATTATTCGGGTTTACTTAATTTAAATCACGTTGGTTACGTATCTGCGCATGTGCACAAATGGGAAATTTAATTGTGCATCTGAAAGTTTCAAAATAATGATAAACAGAATTGTCATATCATACAATCCATCTTGAGTAAAAACCAAGTATATACGTGGAGAGTACGACTTCAAATCAATGATGCTTGAAAAAATACACGGATTTAATTGTTCCGTCTGCGTTCAGATCTTTTATGCAATCAATTAAGTCATATTCCAGTTTTAGACAACATGTGTTTTTTTAAAACGAAAGTTAGAATATCTAAGTATGTTATTGCGATAATAAAGAGTCAAGCGCACACGTGAATCTGCTGGTGTTTTACACATCAAACGATGCACCGTCTGTTGACAGAAATATCAATGTACAAACTAATGTCTGTTGACGGATTCCATTTCGAAAGTACGTAGTTTTCATGTCGTTCATTGTTGGAATGTCTCCAATGATTGCCTTTATTGCCTTAATACGTTTCAAAGTTTTAGAAGTGATAAAAACGGGATTTAACAACTGAATAGTCCAGCTCTTTACCGTTATTCGTCATTAAGGTACACACAAAAATGACACACTATTGAGGCTCGAGTACGGAACCAGTAATTCGTTGCTGTCAATAGTTTTATTTTTATGAAAAATTTCAGAAAAGGGCTGTGTGACTCCTGACGGAAAATGCCATTCCTATCCTCATACTTTTGTGTAAAAATATTAGATGAAAAACAAATATGATATATGGGTCAAACACTTTAAATGAACGGGTTTGAAATGCTAAAAGAGTCAAGCGCACACGTGATTCTGTCTACTGACGGTGCATCGTTTGATGTGTAAAACACCAGCAGATTCACGTGTGCGCTTGACTCTACATTATCGCAATAACATAGCAAGGTCATCACCTGACATGACCGGTCAATCCTTGGCCTGACGCATATCTGCATTGGATATATGTAGAATTTTTCAATATTTGTTTATAATGAAAAACCCTTATTTAAGCAAACTTGACTAAAATCTTGGTGGTCAGTTTTTTTTATAGATAACTATCTACCTTTGACAGAAAACTTTCAAGTGAAACCAAATCAATTACTGTTATAATTGCTTGGCGAAATTGCTTTCAAGTTGACCATGCTGAGACGAATGTATGGAATTTAGTTATAGAAAATGTAATTTGAATCAACAGTATTTGCAGATTTTTATGTTAAGTATAGTGAGTTTTGGTTGAGTTATGAGTATTTTTATTTTTGGAAGAAAAATATACGTAGAAAGCAATAATGGGACAAAGCAGGCTGGGTTGGTGTGGGCTGCTTTTATGGTAATTCAAGTTACTTTTAATGCATCTTCTTCCACCTCAGAGCAATCAGCTCTTTGATTAAAGTTTACAGATAGGCAATAG